CTCGCTTATCAGATACCTTCCTGCTTTTGTGAAAGAGGCTCTCACTGGCTCTTACAGCTTGTTCCGAATTCAGCTCAATTCGAGTGCTGTGTCCTTCAGCAAACCTTCCGAGAAGCACTCCCACTTCCCATCATGGATGGCTTCTGTTCAGATCCTGCAGTATCCTGGGCACTTCTCACCCAGAGCACTTGCTGCTCTGAGGTTCCTACCAGCTTGTCTGTCTGTTCTTTAAAGCATCCTGAGGAGTGGACAGGCCTTGTTTCTCTGTTGCTGCAGCGGCCAGTCTGGACGAGATATGCACTATTTCTTGAATGAACTGTAACGTCCGATCGAGGTGGAAGCACTCACTTGTGCTTTGATGCATCTCCCCTCCAAACACAGCAGTGAAAAGGTACAATTTAAGTAGAGAAATAAACCCAAAAGCATAGCCAGCCCCCGAAGCAAGAGAAATACCCTTCAGTACACAAACAGACGAGAAACCTAGCGTGGTCAGCATGAATTGACTAGATTTCGCTGGCCACTGAGCTGCAAGCTCGAAGCAGGCAGTGTCAGTAGGAACCTAGGGTTTTTACAAGGGTAAGGGTAACAGGGACTAAAGTGTTCAGTGGAATTAGAACTAGATGTATTTTTTTTTTTTTTTTTTTTTTTTTTTGAGACAGGGTCTCGTCACCTGGGCTGGAGTACAGTGGTACGCTCACAGCTCACTGCAGCGTCAACCTGCTGGGCTCAAGCAGTCCTCCTGTCTCAGCCTCCTGAGTAGCCGGGTCTATGCTACTGGGTCTACGCATGGTGTGTGCTCATTTTTTATGTTTTGTAGAGATGGGGGTCTCACTATGTTGCCCAAGCTGGTCTTGAACTCCTGGGCTCAAGCAGTCCTCCAACCTTGGCTTCCCAAAGTGCTGAGATTACAGGCGAGAGCCACCATGCCTGGCCTTAGATAGTTTTTGAAGCTGGAGTTAGATACGATTTCCCCATCTAAGGCAATTCTCTGCTATAGAGATAGGGGCTGTATTGGCAGTTGTGGTCCTAGGAAGGTAGAACGCAAGGCCTGGGATGAGTCCTGCTGTTCCATGATTCTCTGCCAGGGTCTGCACTGTCAGTGACATAACCACGTGACAGAATCCTGCATCACCACGGAAAACCTAGTTCTGGACTGAGGCCTTGGAAGGCTCGGAGGGCAACCACAGAACACTAGTGCTATGGGCTGAATACTTTTGTGTCCCCCGCTCTGCCAAAGTCACGTGCTCAAATCCCACTCTCTAGTTTCACTGTATTAGAAGGTAGAGCCCTTGGGAGGAGATTAGGTCATCAGGGTGGACTCCTTGTGAATGGAATAATGTGCTTAGAAGAGACCCCATAGAGATCCCTGGTCCCTTCTGTCTTGTGAGGTCACAGAAGCTGGCAGTTGGGCCCTCACCAGACACCGAATCTGCTGATGCCTTGCTCTTGAACTTCCAGCCTTGAGAACTGTGAAAAATGAATTTCTATTGTTTTAAGCCACTCAGGTAATGGGAGTTTGTTATAGCAGCCTGAATGGACTGAGCCACTAGACAGGGAGGAGAACGCCAGCAACAGAAAACCTTCTGTCACGATGAGCCTGAAACCCAACATCAAACTTTCTACCACGATGAGCCTGAGACCCCAATTCCTCTATACTCTAATACACATCCTCACAGAGTTGATGCCTTACAGAGCTGTGCATTTACTGCATCGGAAATTTAAGGACAGACAGTCTGGCAAAAACTGTCAAAATAAGTATGTTTAAGATGCTTAAAAACATAAATTAGCATCCTTGAAAACAAGAAATTTTCCAAAAGGAAACAAGAGCAAGAAGATGTGACCCAAAAATAAAGGAGGAAAAAAAGGAAGAAGAACTTGAAATCTAGTAAATGAAAAGGATATGAGCCAGGATGATAGACTCTGTACTGGACATAGTCAAAGATAAAATTAGTGGATTGGCAGTTACTTCACAAAATTGACCCAGACAACAGGGACAAGGTGGAGGGGCACAGTGATAAAATTCAAGGTCCTGTATTCAGGCAAGCCTGGAGGCAACTCTTTACTTTGACTTGACAGTTATGTGCCACAATAATGGCGATTTATTTATTTATTTATTTATTTATTTAGAGACGGAGTTTCGCTCTTGTTGCCCAGGCTGAAGTGCAATGGTACGATCTCGGCCCACCAGAACCTCTGTCTCCTGGGTTCAAGCGATTCTCCTGTCTCAGTGTCCTGAGTAGCTGGGATTACAGGCATGCACTACCACTTCCATCTAATTTTGTATTTTTAGTAGAGACGGGGTTTTTCTGTGTTGGTCAAACTGGTCTCGAACTTCCAACCTCAGGTGATCTGCCCACCTCAGCCTCCCAAAGTGTTGGGATTACAGGCGTGAGCCACCGTGCCTGGCCTAATAATGGCTTTTTAACTGAAGCTAGTTTGAGTCTGTTTGCTTTTTGCCTGCAAGAGGAATAATCTTTTCTCATGTACAAACCCCTTCATAAGATGACACTGTTTCATTAAAGTTAGGCATTAGATGATCTGACAGTCAGCTAGAGTTAATTATCAGAGAAGATGTAAATCAGGGCATTTGATATGATTAATATTGGCACATAAAAAAGAAATCTCTGAAACTTAAGACAAGGAAAACAAACTTGATGGGAGGACGTGGACAGGAGACCGGTTTGCTTAGCGGCCTATCTCCACCCTCCTCCTGCACACCGCCCAGCCGAGGAGCCCACTTCCAGGAGACGTCTGCTCAGCGGCCTATCCCCACCCTCCTCCCTCATGCTGCCAAGCCCAGGAGCCCGCTTCTGAATGCTCCGTTAGATCTCTGAAGAGGTTTCAACACTTGACAGGATCCTTATCAGGTTTTAAGACACATTTGGGTAATCTTTATTAGTATTGTTGAAATTTCTTTGTGTTTGCAAGTATGCATTGAAATACTGAATTGGGCCAGGCGCAGTGGCTCGCGCTTGTAATCCCAGCACTTTGGGAGGCCGAGGTGGACGGATCACGAGGTCAGGAGATCGAGACCATCCTGGCTAACACAGTGAAACCCCACCTCTACTAAAAATACAAAGAATTAGCTGGGCCTGGTGGCAGGTGCCTGTAGTCCCAGCTAGTCAGGAGGCTGAGGCAGGAGAATGGCGTGAATTTGGGAGGCGGAGCTTGCAGTGAGCCAAGATTGCACCCCTGCACTCCGGCCTGGGAGACAGAGCGAGACTCCGTCTCAAAAAACACACAAAAAAAACACCTGAATTGAAGAGATATTCATGTTCTTTAGCTAATGTTATGGTCTTAGGAGCAGCCTTGTCTCCAAAACTCACAGTGTAATATATTTATAATATTTATATATATATTTAATTGCAACAAACTATACTAACATAAAACTTGCCAGCTTCACCAGTTCAGTGAATGCTAGATTCATGTAGTGAAATGTGCTTGTGTCCCCTCCCCACCCCTGCCGTGTTCAGCCTCTGCTGTTACTCCCCAGCCAGGCGCAGCTTTGGGTGTGTCCACAGTCACCCTGCTGCTCTCTTCCACTCTCTCTGACCACACTCAGTTTTGAGCCCCACAAATGTTTCTGTTGTCTTCAGCAATGCCCTGGGATAATTAGGAACCAATTCAGTGAAATTGTGGCTAATTCTAAAAACAGTTTCTGAAGTCATTTTAGGAGATTTGTTCCCACCCTGGAGGGCTCCTACAGCAAGAATTCTCCAGCTCTCCCTGCAGACTACCCAGCCGCAGTCCAGTCTGTGTCTCCATTAAACCCACACCTCCAGTTGCCTCCACTGCTCTTAGGTTTAAAGAGTGCCCTCAGGTTTGTTTAAAGATCACCAAACTCGTTTCTCCCTGAATGACGCCCCTGGTCTTATGGTAGCAGCCAGGGCCCTCTCAGCTTGTCACTCCAGCCCCGCAACCACTGCCTCCCAGAGCCAGGGCACAGCTGATCAGGACCCCTGGTATTAGCCCGCCACACTCAAAGTTGAGCCTCCATTCCAGAGTGGAGGCTGGACAGAGGTAGGAAGGCCCCCGCCTATGACTGCACTAGCCAGGATGTGGCATCAGCAGCACGTAGCTGGGGCGTGGTGGAGCGGGGGAGAGGGCACTGCGTCGTCAGCTACAGCAGTCTGGAATGGAGTTGCTGCCTCACTGGCCTGGAAAGGGGAGGCAGGGAGCAGTCTTGGTTCAAATGCAACAGACTCTGGCCTTTCTTACTGAATTTTCGATTGTTTGCTGTGAACCCTTAGAATGATCTCCAGCGTCTTTGAATAGTTGTTTTCTTACAGGGTTCACCTGTTTTCCTTGGGAGCAAGCAGGTCAGTGGAGTTTCTTGTGCTGTCATGCTGGAAGTTGATTCCCCACAATAGGGATTCTTGCAGAAGAAATATTACTTTAGAAGAGAGGCTGGGCACGGTGGCTCAAGCCTGTGGTCTCAGCTACTTGGGAGGCTGAGGCAGGAGGATCACTTGAGCTCGGGAGGTCAAAGCTGTAGTGAGCCGTGGTCACACCATGCACTCTCACCTGGGTGACACAGTGAAGCCCTGTCTCAGAAAGAAAAAGGAAGATAAGGAGGCTAGGACAGGGGTGGTGGCCTTCTAGGCCTTCTTTCCTCTCTCTCCAGCAACTCCAGATCACATGTCTGTGAGTCATTTAAAAATGTCTTCATTCAGTTCACGCCAGGATGCTGTTCAGGAAAATGTGTTGGACTTCTCTGGCTGCTGAGAAGGTGGACTTGGATTCCCCTTCTTTGCCTGCCGTCCTTGTGCCAGGGCCCAGGGATGGAAGAAAGTCAGATGGTCTGTCAGTGTTGTGATTTGTTAGGGAGTCTGTGGTCTTAGGCCAGTCCATTGACACCCTCTTTCTCTGGAGGATCACAGAGATCTCTTCCCCATAACTTGCAATGAGATTGCCTTTGTGCGAGGACCGTGAAGCCTTGATGAAAGGCTTTCTTCAGAGGGTCTTTCTTATTTATTTAATTTTGTTTTGTGATTTTCTAGGAGTTTGCGGCACTTACTAAGGAACTCAATGTGTGCAGGGAACAGCTTCTTGAAAGGGAAGAAGAAATTGCTGAACTGAAAGCAGAAAGGAATAACACCAGGGTGAGTGTGACCTTTCTGTTCACCGTCTGCCCCTGGAGCCACTGTCAGAAGGAGGGGTGCTGTCTCAAAACAAAAGGACGACCCACTCTGTCCGGCCTGAAACACTTTTCATACCTTTTCCCACTGAGCAGACTGTGATTAGTCAGCATGATCACACATTAATGACTTGAAATTTGTGATGAGAAGTTATGATATTTTAATACCGTTGAGGGGAATTTGTCTTTCTGCTGAATTGAAGGGACTTCATTTTAGCATGAGACTGTAAAGGAATTATTTGCCCCAGATTCAATCATGAAATTAAAAGTGCCCTTTAACGAGTCTTTATTTTGGCCTTTTATTTCAGCTGCTGTTAGAGCATTTGGAATGCCTCGTCTCCAGGCATGAGCGGTCTCTTAGGATGACCGTGGTGAAGAGACAAGCGCAGTCCCCAGCAGGCGTGTCCAGCGAAGTGGAAGTGCTGAAAGCACTGAAGTCCTTATTTGAACACCACAAAGCTCTGGATGAAAAGGTGCCATCAGCCACATAAGTCTTGGTTTGTGCACATACCGTGTATTAGGCCAGCTTCGCAAATGTTGGTGTAACTTTTATTTTTTGAAGCTTCTTGAACTCTTGGAAATAACTTCTCTAAGAAAACAGGGTTTTGTAGGTTTAAAAAGTACTAATTGGCATAAATGTCTTAAAATTACCAATATATATTGATTTGCTGTTACAGATTGGGTAGTATTAGGTTGTTGCAAAAGTAATTGTGGGCTTTGCTATTACTTTTAATGGCAAACCCTGCAATTACTTTTGCAACAACCTAGTATTTCAGGGGAAGATTTGTTTTTCTCAAACTTAATTTAGAGCCATTAACAAGTTTTCATGACACTAAGATCAAGGACAGACATTAATGGTATTTTATTATGTTATATTACACTAATATATACATTAAGTGTATATATTACACTTAACTATGTATTAAGAATAAAATAAACAGTATACACACATACACACAAACTCAACCCCTTTTATTTTCAGGTGAGAGAGCGATTACGAGTAGCACTTGAAAGATGTAGTTTGTTAGAAGAGGAATTAGGTGCCACACACAAAGAGGTAAGCTTGAGACTTCATCATCAGTTGAACTGGGAGGTTTTTATTTTTATCCTTTAATTATTAAAAGAAGCATAAGGCCAGGCGCAGTGGCTCACGCCTGTCATCCCAGCACTTTGGGAGGCCAAGGCGGGTGGATCACCTGATGTCAGGAGTTCGAGACCAGCCTGACCTAACATGGTGAAACACCATCTCTACTAAAAATACAAAATTAGCCGGGAGTGGTGGCATGTTCCTTTAGTCCCAGCTACTCGGGAGGCTGAGACATGAGAATCGCTTGAGCCCAGGAGGTGGAGGTTGCAGTGAGCTGAGATTGCGCCACTGCACTCCAGCCTGGGCGACAGAGCGAGACTCTTGTCTCAAAAAAAAAAAAAAAAAAAAGTAAAAGAAGTATAAAGACTGTAGTTGTGTGTATCACATGTTATTCATCTTCCCGATTGAGGACCAACCTATCTGGGTCATTTTAAGGACTAGAAAACTATGGTTACCTAAGGACTCATTTGGCCAGTGGATAATAAATTCCGTCTTTAATGATCTGGTTATTTTCGGATTGGATAGCATTGCCATATGCTTTCTCTTTTATACTATACTAAGCAGTTTATAGTTGTGTTTTTCCAAAAGGAGTTTTGCTATCTTTACTTATTTCTCTTACGTAAGGTATTTTACACTCATATTCAATTTTTTGGTTTCAGCTAATGATTCTTAAAGAACAGAATAGTCAGAAAAAAACACTAACAGATGGAGTGCTGGACATAAACCACGAACAAGAAAATACACCAAGCACGAATGGAAAGGCAAGTCTGTAGGCTTTCTCTTCATTCTGTTTGATTTCATTTGTCCACAGCATGTGTCGGCTTATGTGGAAAATGGTTGCTAAAGTGCTGGCTTAGAGCTGAAGTGGTCATGAAAATTGTGTAATCCGACAGATTGCATAAGTCAGTTTTGATTTTAGCTGTTTCCTGGAAGTATTTTTATTTTATAGCTCACCAAACAAGGGTATTTAGGGTGTTGTTTTTTTTTTTTTTTCTCCTATCAGAGATCTTCTGATGGTTCTTTAAGCCATGAGGAAGACCTTGCTAAAGTAATTGAGCTCCAAGAAATCATAAGTAAGCAGTCAAGGGAACAGAGCCAAATGAAAGAACGCCTGGCTTCCCTCTCCAGTCACGTGTCAGAGCTGGAAGAGGATCTGGACACTGCTAGAAAAGATCTCATCAAATCTGAAGAAATGAACACAAAATTGCAACGAGATGTCCGTGAAGTGAGCAGTAACAAAAATTACAGGCTTGTCATGAAGTTGAATGTTTGGGAGGTTTTATTTAATGATTTTTTTTCTCCTTTTGTCCCTTGCTCTCCCAATTACTTTCAACCTTTGGATTATTATATAAGTTATATTGAAAAAGAAAGAGTGCTGTGAAACTGCGATAAGATACCTCCCCATTTTTGTTGTGAAATCTCCTGTCCCTGAGCGCTTCAAAATAGAGGAGAACTAGTACCACTGACTGATGTGGCCATGGAGTGGACGCCACACCAGCCCCTCCTACCTGTGCTGCTTTGGTATTCTTTAATGTCCTTGTTTGTGGATTCTTCATCTGTGCAATTTCTAGGCTGTCTTAATTTGTTCTTATGTTCAGATTGCCTTCCGTTGCACACATGCTTAGCAAGCAGACGTTGATCCTGGCTGTGCTAGTTCATGTAGGGCGATGTGACTATAGTCTATTAACTGTGGGAAGGGGCGTTGCTGGCGGTCTTCTCGTTTTCTGACCTGCTCCTTTAAGGAACTCGTGGCATTGAATATTGATGGTCAGACAAATAATCAAGAGTGGAATTTGCTTCTACGTGGGTCATCAGGATCGTATAATAAAAATATGTCGCAGTATACTCATTGCTGACAAGTATTTCTGCCATTATCACTATGAGAAACTATTTGATCATGGAACAGTGAGGCTGAGTTCTTTCTCAGGTGCCCTTCCTGTCACTTTCTAACCTGCGCTTTGTCCCTTGTCAGGCGCCTCAACCGTGGAACATCTGCTTTTCAGTGTGATAGTTTGGCATGAGTAATTTCATGTAGGAATTCGCCACAGGAAGAGCATGTGTGTGTGCTGTGTCACCTGCTAGGTTCTATTCTTTGGCTATAGCGGGAGATTATGTGGCAGAGATGAACATGCTGAGAATTTTGAAATTCTTTTAAGACCTATCACTTTTATTTTTTATTTTTTATTTTAACTTTTAAGTTTGGGGTACATGCTTAGGTCTGTTACGTAGGTAAACTTGTGTCCTGGGGGTTTGTTGTACAGATTATTTCATCATCCAGGTACCAAGCCTAGTACCCATTCGTTATTTTTCCTGATCCTCTTCTTCCTCCTACCCTCCAGTGTGTGTTGTTCCCCTCTGTGCGTCCCTGTGTTCTCATCATTTAGCTCCCACTTATAAGTGAGAACATGAGGTATGTTGTTTTTCTGTTCCTGTGTTTGCTAAAGATAGTGGCCGCCAGCTCCATCCATGTCTCTGCAAAGGACATGATCTCATTCTGTTTTATGGCTTCGTAGTATTCCATGTTGTATACGTACCACATTTTCCTGATCCAGTCCACTATTGATGGGCATTTAGGTTGATTCCATGTCTTTGCTATTGTGAATAGTGCTACAGTGAACATACACATACATGTGTCTATATAATAGAACGATTTATATTCCTTTGGATATATACCCAGTAATGAGATTTCTGGGTTGGTATTTCCATCTTTAGGTCTTTGAGGAATCTCCACACTGCCTTCCACAATGGTTGAACTAATTTACACTCCCACCAACAGTAGGAAAACATTCCTTTCTCTCCACAACCTCACCAGCATCTGTTATTGACTTTTCCATAATAGCCTTTCTGACTGGTGTGAGATCCTGTGTCATTGTGGTTTTGATTTGCATTTCTCTAATCAGTGATGTTGAGCTTTTTTCCCCTATGACTTTTAGTAGTCACTTTTAATAGTTATCACTTCGCTAACCTTAGTCATTTTATAAATAGGGAACAACTTGAAAATAGTGAATTCTGGGGGTGGAGGACAGGTATTTCACAAGCAAGAAGTTCTGGTCCTAGCCTTAAGTGTTTGATACTGTTTAGTAATCATCTTGTAGACTTCAGGTAGTTGCGTCCAATTAAATTGAACTTGTACTTCTGTTTCCATTTGTCAATATGCCTGAATCTTGTAATTGTATGAGATTTCATCTAACCCTTATCCTAGAAAGTGAGACTTGTATCTCACTACTGTATCCATTGAGAGAGGCCACACCCTGTCCTGTGTAAGACCATTTGTAGCATGAGGCAGACATAGACTGCGTCTTCTTTGAGGACACTTTCACCTCCTTGAAAAATATTTAGATATTTGAGTGTATATATTTTTATAATATTATGTAGAAATAGGAAAGCTTGGTCAACTGAGTGGCTAGACATAGTATTAAGAGAGACAAGTCTTTGTTAATCGTATAGGTGAATATTTATGATATTTGAGGTAGTTACATTTTCATTCACATTTGAGAAAATTGATGTCGTCTTCAATTTAATTTTGAGGACACTTTTTTTTTTTTTTTTTTTTTTTGAGACAGGATCTCTGTCTGTTACCCAGGCTGGAGTGCAGTGGTGCCATCATAGCTCACTGCAGCCTTGAACTGCCGAACTCGAGCAATCCTCCTGCCTCAGCCTCCCAAGTACCTGGGACTATAGGGGCATGCCACCATGCGTGGCTAATTTTTGTTTCTTTAAAATTTTTTTGGCCAGGGATGCTGGCTCACGTCTGTAATCCTAACACTTTGGGAGGCCAAAGGAAGGCCAAGGAGGATCTCTTGAGCCCAGAAATTCAAGACCAGCCTGAGCGACATAGTAAGACCTCTATCTCTACAAAAAATTAAAAATTAGTGGATATAGTGGTATGTGCTTGTAGTCCCAGCTACTGGGAAGATTGAGGTGGAAGGATCCCTTGAGCCTGGGAAGTCAAGGCTGTGGTGAGCCCTGATTGCACCACAGCATTCCAGCCTAGGTGATAGAGGGAGACTGTGTCTCAAAAACTAAAATACAATATTTTTGTAGAGACAAGGTCTTGAACTCCTGGCCTCAAACCATCCTCCCATCTTAGCGTCCCAAAGTACTGTGATTATAGGAGTGAGCTGCTGTATCTGGCCTGAGGATGCTAATTTTTAATTTGATTGGAAATTTGGGATTTAGTTCAGTTTTTTTCTCTCTTAAGTATCTTAATGTGTAATCTGTTAATTATGTACTTTTTTGTCCCCTCTGAAATACTAATTTAGGCCATGGCCCAAAAGGAAGACATGGAAGAGAGAATCACTACTCTTGAAAAACGCTACCTCGCTGCACAGCGTGAAGCCACATCTGTGCATGACCTCAATGATAAACTTGAAAATGAAATTGCAAATAAAGATTCTATGCATCGACAGGTAATGGATTTTATCGATCTTTGTCTGGCTTCAGTTAATTATTAATGAAATTAAAGACCCTTTTTCTCTCATGTTGGAAATCAAGTCCAAATATCAAGTTTTTATGACCTTAGAATATTATGTTCAAGATATGTGGGAGTTCCTTCAGTTTACAGGTTTTGATAACGTAGGATTTGATTTAACCATTTTGTCCTCAATTTTTTCTTTTGTTGTAATTGAAAGTTAATCTATTGCTTTTTAGCATTTTTACCAAAGGAGGAGAGAGTGGCAAAGAACTTCAAGGCAACTGGCTATTTGTTACTAAGTGGGAGCACTATGATAAATGAATAGTATGAGAAATAAAGTCTTGGTCAGACGCAGTGGCTCATGCCTGTCATTCTAACACTTTGGGAAGCTGAGGCGGGAAGATCACTTGAGCTCAGGAATGTGAGAACAGTCTGGTCAACATAGCAAGACCCTGTCTCTACAGAAAATTAAAAAAATAAATAATTAGCTCGGCATGGTGGAATGTGCCTTTAGCCCTAGCTACTCAGGAGGCTAAGGAGGGAGGATGACTTGAGCCCTGGAGTTCAAGGCTTCACTGTGCTATGATTGTGCCACTGGACTCCAGCCTGGGCCACAGAACAAGACCCCGTGTCTAAAATAAAAAATGCGGCTGGGCACGGTGGCTCACGCCTGTAATCCCAGCACTTTGGGAGGCCAAGGCAGGCGGATCATGAGGTCAGGAGTTTGAGACCAGCCTGACTAACATGGTGAAACCCTGTCTCTACTAAAAATAGAAAAATTAGCTGGGCGTAGTGATGCACATCTGTAATCCCAGCTGCTGCTCAGGAGGCTGAGGCAGGAGAATCGCTTGAACCTGAGAGGCAGAGATTGCAGTGAGCCAAGATTGCACCACTGCACTCCAGCCTGGGCGACACAGCTAGACTCCGTCTCAAAAAAAAAAAAGGCAATGAAGTCTATAGTAAGAAATTGTGTCTCCTGTGGTTTCGTTAAACCATACTTACTCTTGTAAGAGTATCACTGTACTCCAGGCTGGGTGACAGAGCGAGACTCTGTCTTTAAACAAAAAAAAAAAGTTTCTTAGAAGTTATTTAGGAAGAGCAAATACTTTGGCAAGAGGTGTTTTGCGCATTGAAACGAAGCCCAGGAAAGTGGGCATGTACTCCAGGCAACAGGAAAATTTGACCCAGGCCAGGCACAGTGGCATACACGTGTAATCCCACCACTTTGGGAGGCTGAGGCAGTTGGATCACTTGAGGTTAGGAGTTCACGACCAGCCTGGCCAACATGCCAAAGCCCTGTCTCTACTAAAAATACAAAAATTAGCCAGGTGTGGTGGCACATGCCTATAATTGTGGCTACTCAGGAGGCTGAGGCAGGAGAATTGCTTGAACTCGGAAGGTGGAGGTTGCAGTGAGCCGAGATTGTGCCACTGCACTCCAGCCTGGGTGACAAAGCAAGACTATCTCAAAAAACACACACACACACACAAACCTGACCCAGAAGCAACCCCCATCACTGTAGCTCTTCCATCATGACTCTCTTAGTCTGTATCTGCATTTCAGTTTGTTTCAATCTGTTAAAAACTGATATAGCTAGAAGATTTGCTGCATTTTGATGCTTTGCTCTCATTTTATAGACTGAAGATAAAAACCGCCAGTTACAGGAGCGCTTGGAATTGGCAGAGCAAAAGCTGCAGCAGACACTGAGGAAGGCAGAGACGCTCCCTGAGGTGGAGGCGGAGCTGGCCCAGAGGGTGGCAGCGCTTTCCAAGGTAGTGCCATGAGCTTTGTTCTGGTTCGGCTGCCAGGCCTGTGACTGTGCCTTGCCTGTGTACCTTGTTTGTCACTGTTCTTATTACATCAGCACCTAAATCCATGGAAGAGCACAGATTTGGTTTGAGTGCTCTTTCACCTGAGATTGGAACACTTCGTAAATGCCAGACATGATCCTTTTATCCTGAAGTCTCCCTTGGTGTTGTGAGCTGTATACTATTTGTCCACAGCATGTGTGATCTGAGAGTTACTGCTTCGTAAAATTGTTTTGGTCACCAGCTTAAGCATAGGATAGAAGCCTCTGTAAAAGAAAGTAGTTTTTCTCAGAAATAGGAAGATGCCATTCTTTTAAAAACACCATCAAGATACATTCTTAATAAACACATTTTTAAGTAATTTTATTATTTTGAAATTACTTAAAAATGTGTTTTTAAGTAATATTTATTCATTTGTCCAACAACTGTTGACTAGGCATGTGCAAGGCACAGTCCCTCCAAGTTCTCACCATTCATGAGGGAAGCAGCTAAAGAGGTAAATGCTGTCATAGGTCCTGGGACCAGCGAGAATCCAGGGAGCACATCACTGGGCAAACACCCAGCCTCTGGGGCATGGGGAGCCTAGCACTGCAGTGCCAGGCAGGCGAGCAGCAGGAGCCGAGGCCGCTGTCCGTCGTCCTGAGTCTCTTGGCTCAAGCTTTTCAAGCTGCTGGGGAGGGCATCCTTCTGGACGATTCAGATGGTTTTAGGGCCTACAGACCTGTTCCTTCGAGCAAGTTTGTTGCTAACAGCTTAAGAGAACCTTTCCTCCCACTCCATGATCTGCTTTTAAAGTCTCAATTTCTTTTCTCCCCTGTTATCTTTCCTGTCCCTTGTCGGCTATGTAGTCTGACCTTTTGTCTTCTGGGAGCTCTGCTGCTAAGGAAGCTAAACTGTTGGAACTTACTTCCAAGCTTAGGAAGGTAGAATGGGTGCACTGCTCCTTGCTTGTGCTTGCTGCTGCTTTCTGCTTTCCATGCTGACTGACCAGAAGCAGTCTAAGGATGGGGGAATCACAGCTCCATTGAGATTGGGCATAGGGGTTGGGGGGAAACACCCAGTCAGTCACCAGCAGCAGCCATGCTTCAGAATCACCAACACAAGAGGGCTAGCCACCTCCCAGCCCAGCACGTGAAGCCCCGTAAGCTGTGTTGATGGATGAGTAAATGCTTTCCATTTAGTATGGCGGAGGAGTCCACGCAGAGCATGTCCTGCCTGTTGCCACTGCAGTAGTATGCAGCATGTTGTTAATGAAGTGTAAGGATGAGGTAAGCTGATGCTATTTCTGCTGACAGGCTGAAGAGAGACACGGCAACATTGAAGAAAGGTTACGGCAGATGGAAGCACAGTTGGAGGAGAAGAATCAAGAACTGCAGCGGGTGAGCATGCAGCCCTGAGGGCGGGGGCGCTGAGTGGGTGCCGCAAGGGCATTGCTCGGGCTGTGGGGACTTCAAGGCCTCCCACCCCTGACTGAGATGTTGGTCCTCCAGCTCAGTTCTGGTCACGTGCATTTGTTTTGTGCCCTCATCTGTGAGTCGCCTGCTAATGTGTACATCCCACACAGTAGCAGTTTTCAGTCAGTGTTGGGAGCCGCAGAAGAAATTTGAGATCATAGGCAGTGCTTCAGGGGGTAGATTAGATCCCCACGTCCAAAAATGCTTCTTGCTTGTCTAGTGGCCTATGAGGGGAATTGTTCTAGGTACCTGTGGTACCGGCGTGGGTAGAGGCAGGCCCATTGTCCTGGATGACTAGTCCACTTGCCTAGGATGTGGCACTGAATTCCCAAATGCAGGTCAGAGGCCTGACCTCTGTCCCAGGTTAAAACACTGCAGACATCGTGGTGTGTTGGAATGAATAGTTCTAAGCAAGGGCAACACCGTAATTGAGCTACGGTAAAAAGCACTAGGAAGGAGTGTGGCAGTGGAGACTTCTGTCCATTGAATCCTAAGATTGTCTTCCTGGAAGAGTTGGACGGATGTCAGTATGGAACATCCAGGAAAAAGTAATAGCAAGAGCAGTCCCAGGGCCAGCTGGTACCAGGCCTGGGGGTTGGGCCGGATTTCTCTTTAACAAGTAGGTGGAGAAAGGAAGCGTGCAGCATCTAATTGTAGAACTCTTGCACTCTCACATCAACCCGCTTTATAATTTAAGGCTACTAGATTTTGTTTTCACCAGAAATCTGTATTCTCGGCCATGCCCTGCAGAGAGTCAAATGAGCTTCCGGGAAACAATGATTCCCACTCCCAGTGAGAGGGTGCGTTTTAGGCAGTCCCCACCTCCCCTTCCAAAACGCACACGTATGCGCACAGACACAACAGTGAACTTTAAGCTGTGTTCTTTAAAAATTATTTAAATGCTGACAGAAAATAAGCACAAAGAAGGATATTGTTTCTTTCCTAAGAGGAAGTATGCGATACTCTGTATGCCCCATGATGTGCTGGACCCTTCCAGGTAATGAGAGTTGCTACATGTTAGACCTTGTGAGAAAAGGAGAGGTCACTCCCCATGTTTTCCCAGTGCAGAAACTGGGCGCACGGGGGTTGAATGCACTACTGATGGTGCGGTCTCGTGGCTCTCTCCTCCTGCCTGGGCAGCATGACTCAAGTGCACGTCATAACCCCGTGCCACTGCCCCCTGCCTGGGAGGAGCCCCCGAGCACTGCAAGGGCACTTGGATGATGAGGGCGTGGAGGTGCCACCTGGACAGGTGCCACCTGCTAACACTTCCTGTCCCCTTCTGCCTGTCATTTGAGAAACAGGTTTTTTTTTTTTTTTTTTTTGAGACGGAGTCTCACTCTGTCGCCCAGGCTGGAGTACAGTGACCGGATCTCAGCTCACTGCAAGCTCCGCCTCCCAGGTTTACGCCATTCTCCTGCCTCAGCCTCCCGAGTAGCTGGGACTACAGGCGCCCGCCACCTCACCCGGCTAGTTTTTTGTAGTTTTTAGTAGAGACGGGTTTTCACCGGGTTAGCCAGGATGGTCTCGATCTCCTGACCTCGTGATCTGCCCATCTCGGCCTCCCAAAGTGCTGGGATTACAGGCTTGAGCCACCGCGCCCGGCCGAGAAACAGGTTTTAAACCATGAACTTAATTATGGTTTTATAAAATAACAGACATGTCAGTTTTGTTACTACGTATTAAAATTACTTAAGGTAATTATTTATAATTTTTGAATATAAATTTCCATTACAAGAAATTTAAGCAACATAGAGGTATAAAGAAAAAATATGAAAGTCTCTCTAGTGCTACTAATTTTTTTTTCCAAAACAAACTTTTTAGCTTTGTAAATTAAATTCACCCTTCCTCCCCAAATCCAGACCCAAGCTTTTAGTGACACAAGGGGGAATTCCTCTCCCAGCGTGGAGACAGGCTGCTCCTCTAAATATCTGCTATAAACCTGCTCCTTAAGTCCCTCTGACAGTTAACAACTAGGGACATTCCTGAGGAGTCCTGTCACGGGAGCAGTGGGACCTTCTAGTTAATGATCTCTCCAAGACTTGTCCTGTGTTCCCCGTGTCCATGAGTTGGTTCTGGTCACCATGCAAAAATCCACTCAAGACGGCAGTGCGGGAAGCAACCGGGGAGGGGAGGGCACGCATGGGGCTCACCCTGTTGGTCCTTGTGCTTTTAAAATAATGGTTGAGCATTTACATGAGATTTATAAGTCTTTGTTTCTCCTGCTTTAGGCAAGGCAAAGAGAAAAAATGAACGAAGAACATAATAAACGTTTATCAGACACTGTTGACAAGCTACTTTCAGAATCTAATGAGAGGCTTCAACTTCATCTTAAAGAGAGAATGGCTGCTTTGGAAGATAAGGTAGGTTAGATAACACGGACATCGCTGGCGCTTTCCCACCCTCTGCCAAAAGACTGCTCATCTGCCCCTGAGCAGGCATGTGTAACAGTGGTTAGCAGCTGTTACCGAAAGTGGGAATTACTCTTTAAAGTGGAAAAGGTACACACAGTTATCCAGTCACTGAATTAACTTATTGTTTGCTATGTCCTTGCCCCATTTGCATGTATGGGAAATTGTTTATCATTCTTATTCTCTAGAATAACAGTAGGTAAGTGATTTTTATAAAGGGCCAGATAATAAATATTTTAGGCTTTTAGTAATTACAAGTAATTAAATAATTTTATGCCAATCAAGTAATTAGCACAAAAGCAGCCATAAATAACATGTAAATGAATGGGTGTGGCTATGTTCCAATAAGATTCATTTGCAGAAATAAGCAGTGGGCTGGTTTTGGCCATCAAGTTCTAGTTTGCCAGCCCCTGCACTTGGATCATTTTTTGGGCCCAACCCTCACCCCTTTATTGTTCATGCATTAGAAGTTAATTTCTGGCCGGGCACGGTGGCTCATGTCTGTAATCCCAGCACTTTGGGACGCCGAGGCAGGCAGATGACTTCAGCTAGGAGTTCGAGACCAGCTTGGCCAACATGACCAAACCCCGTCTCTGCTAAAAATATAAAAATTAGCCTGACCCGGAAGCACCTGCCTGTAGTCCCAGCTACTCGAGAGGCTAAGGCATGAAAATCGCTTGAACCCAGGAGGTGGAGGTTGCAGTGAGCCGAGATCGTGCCACTCTACTTCATTCAGCCTGTGTGACAGCAAGATCCTGTCTCAAAAAAAAAAAAAGAAAAAAGTTAATTTCTGTCTCATTTATAAACAGGTCACTTAGGGAGTATCGTGTGCTAGAAAGGGTTTAATCAGCTGAAACCAAATAAATATTCCAACCTCTACCTTCATTCTTTTTCATTTGATTTGGAAAAAGTTGAAGGCTGAGCCTGGACTCTGAGCACTGTCGTCATGGAAACATGTTAGCTGTCGCCAAAGGGACGGGATATCCTAGAATCTGTGTCAGAGAAGCTCTAATGGGTAGCAGCTGGATTCCAGTTTGATAAAGCCTCTCCTGACTATGCAGTGTCCCTAGCGATGAGACTCAGAAACTGCGCTGAGATTGGCTGTTAGGATTGGGGTCTGCTCATCTCAGAGACTAATGATTCCCGCTCATTGCATGACATGTTTATTTACATGGTGCTGACCATGGAGGGCATTTCCAGAGACCACACAGCGTCGTTATCCCACTCACCTCCTTAATCAGTGGGTCAGCCTTAATGGAGCAGTGTTTTTATCTTTGATTTTTTTCTTTGATTATCTTTGAAACTTAAATTCAGGTTTCACAAGTGACCAAGAAATTATACAGTCTAAAAGCTAGTGTAAGCCAGTTTAACTGACTAAAATGAACTTGCACCGTGAACTTGACATACCTACCTTTAGAAAGTTCATTTGGTGAGGAGTAGATGTTACATTAGTAAGAGACATAAGAGAAGGTGTCGCCGCCTGAGGGTCTGACTCTGGGACTATAGCAATGCTTGCTGGTGTGCTTTCTGGCTCCGTTCCCTTTCTGTGGTCCTTTTTTTTTTTAAACAGATACAGCCATGCTATGTATTTAAATGGGACATTTTAAAGAAACACTAAAGGACTATCTGTCTTTTTCAGAATTCTCTATTAAGAGAAGTTGAAAATGCAAAAAAACAATTGGAAGAAACACAACACGATAAGGTACTGAAATCTTCTCTAAATCCATGAAGAACCGAGTTGAACTGAGTTGATGATGATGATAGTTACTGCAGATGTCTGACAGAGTGGAGATCAACTTAGTTTGTGGCTCTCATAGTCCACTGCCATCAGTTTCTAGCGCTCTCAGGCTTGTATGTTGAATGCCTTTGTATTTCAGGTGTATTTTGAGTCTGGCTGTGCATATGGTTCAGAATTCAGAGTCCTTTCTGGATTTATTTGAAGCTAAAATATTAGCATCAATGACAGTGCTGTCCAACAGAAATATTATATGAGCTGCATATGTAATGTTTAATTTTCTAATAGTCACATTTTAGAAAGTAAGAAATAGGTAAAATCTACTTTATTTAATTCAGTATATGTAAAATATTATTTCATTATGTATGAATAGTAACAGAACTGAGCTACTTTACATTCTTTTTCCACTGTGTATTTCATAGTCACAGCACATCTCCATTTAGACTAACCCATTACAAGGGCTCAGTAGCCACGTGTGGCTAGTGGTGGACAGCACAGCTCTAGAAATGAGATCAAGTATACTCATGACACAGGAATGGACGCATACCTGATGTAAGACAATTAAACACAATACAGAGACGCACAGGATGTGAATATTGGTCCCTTTCTCCCCTAAAAGAGTCTGCTTCTCTACAAGACTAATAATTGTTAATGGTTTGGTGTTTATCCTCTTAAAAGCTTTTCTATGACTAAGACACAGCTTTTCATTCATTAGGGCTTACAAAGTTAATATAGTAGTCTGAGAGTTTATGTTTATTGCAGTACTCTTGGAGAAAATTTTCCCAGAATTAAAATGTTTGGTATTTTTAACTGCTGATTTAACCTGTTAGGGTTATGCTCAACATCTGAGCACATTTGAAGTAAGTGATTTTAAAATCTCAAATAGAGCAGTAATGTAAGTCTTTTGCTTTTCTGTAGGATCAGCTTGTCCTGAACATTGAAGCACTGAGAGCTGAACTAGACCAGATGAGGCTAAGAGGTGCTTCACTTCATCATGGGTATGGTATTAACCAGTGAGCAGCTGTATTGTCAGCACCTGTGGCAGGTCAGCTCTTGGCTCTGTGGGCAGCCTAACTGGGTGCGGCTAATGGTGTGGCCTCAAGGAGCCTGTAGCTTAGTAGGAAGCAAGAGAGAAGAGTGAAATAACTCAAAGGTTAGAGCTTGGTACTGAGAACACACATCACTGGCAGAACTCCAAAACGCAGGAGGAGTTTTGATCAGTTAGTATTTGGATATATTAATCGAGGTGCCAGCAGAGTGTGACACTGATGATGTAAGAGCAGGATGACAGATCCCAAGATTTCACACCACAGATGCTGGCACGGGTGGGACAATTGCAGAGCAGTTGAAGGCCAGCAGTGGCGTGTGGCTGTGTTTCTCATCAGCCCTGGGAAAGTGGAGCAGAAATGCAGAGCCGGACACCTGGACCCAGAGGAGGGGTCTCAGGGGACCCAGGGTCTCTCTCATCCTAGACAGCTGGGCTCCTTGTTGCTCATCGCCGTGGCCGTCTGCACAGCTTTTCCTGGAGAGCTTTCTACCTGGTGGGGCTGAGAGACTGAAACTGTTGTCCTGGAGGAGGCAACAAGTAGCTCTTGGGGCGGGTGAGAGCAGTGCCCTCCCTGGAGACCCTTTCCTGTGTGGAGTAACTTTTCCAAATTGACAGATTCTGCCTTAACTAGAAGAGAGTTTATTTCCTTTTCTTCTAATAATGATCATTCTTATTTTTCATATTTCAGCCGACCCCACTTGGGCAGTGTCCCAGATTTCAGGTTCCCCATGGCAGACGGCCACACAGACTCCTACAGCACCAGTGCAGTGCTGCGGCGCCCGCAGAAAGGCCGTCTGGCAGCCCTGCGAGATGAGCCTTCCAAGGCAAGGTCTTTGTATGAAATACCTCTGCTTACGTGAAAGTTAACCTACTTATCCTGTGGCTTTCAGACTGCTTTGGAATAAAAATGTTGATAGGTCATTGCCTTTCTTGCCCTCCTCTCATTTTCTATTTTCTGGCTAAGAGTTTAGCTTTTAGAGCATTTTTTAAAATAGGGTTTTGTTTTTGTTTTTGTTTTTTTTTAAAGAGATAGGGTCTGTGTTGCCCAAGCTGCTCTTGAACTCCTGGCCTCAAGCAGTCCTCTTGCCTCAGCCTCACAAAGTGCTGGGACTACAGGCGTGAGCCATTGTGCCTGGCGTCTGTAGTTTTTTTTTTTTTCCTTTCTTTCTTTTAATAGGAATTCTTATAAAAATACAGTCATTTTTAAATACAGTGATAATCATGGATTTAAAGTAGTGATTAAAAATAAATGAGTAGGCCAGGTGCAGGTGGCTCACGCCTGTAATCCCAGAACTTTGGGAGGCCAAGGCAGGTGGATCACCTGAGGTCAGGGGTTTGAGATCAGCCTGGCCAACATGGTGAAACCCCGTCTGTACTAAAAATACAAAAAATTAGCTGGGCATGGTGGCAGGTGCCTGTAATCCCAGCTACTCGGGAGGCTGAGGCAGAAGAATTACTTGAACCCGGAGGCATTGCAGTGAGCTGAGAAAGCATCATTGCACTCCAGCCTGGGCTATAAGAGCAAAACTCCGTCTCAAAAAATAATAGAATAGAATAGAAATCTGGGTGCAGTGCCTCACACCGGTAATCCCAGTGCTTTGGGAGGATCGCTTGAAGCCAGGAGCTTGAGACCAGCTTCGGCAACACAGGGAGACCCCTGTCTCTATTTAAAAAAAAAAAAGAAAAACTTAGCTGGGTGTGGTAGTGTGTGCCTATAGTCCCAGCTACTCGGGAGGCTGAGGCAGAAGGGTCCTTTGAGCCCAGGAGATTGAGACCAGCCTGGGCAACATAGTAAGACCCTGTCTCTACAAATAAAGAAATTAGCTGGGCATGGTGGCATGCGCCTGCAGTCCCAGCTACTCTCGGGGCTGGGGTAGAAGGATCCTTTGGGCCCCGGGAGGTCAACGCTATAGTGAGCTATGATTGCACCACTGCGGTCCAGTTTGGTCAACAGAGTAAGACCTTGTTTCTAAAAAATAAAAGAAGTAATTGAATACATATATTCATCATTTAGTGAAAAGAATTCACCTTTGAACATTTACCTTCTTTCTTTGGTCTGTTCAGCAGCGTTTGTTTCAATACATGTAAGTGTAATTTTAGCCCCCATAGTCACTCAACAGCTAGTTTAGGCCCGGCCCCATTACAGCCCTGTAGAGACCTAGGGCTGCAGCAGTGTGTAGTGAAACAGGAAGAATGCCTGCATCCCAGAGGACACAAACAGTCGACATATAAAGTCTAGTAGTGTGTGTTTGTTGACTATTGGTGTGTAACAAATTACTACGGAGCTCAGTGGCTTAAAACAGTGAACATTTCATAGTTCACGGCTCCTGTGAGCGCAGGAGCAGCAGAGCAGGACAGTCCTGGCTCAATCTGGCAAGACTGGAGCCGCAGAAAAACCCAGCTGGGGCAGGAGGCCTCGGGGCCATCACCCACCACTTGGATCTGGCCACCAGGGCTGCTCTGTGGTCCTTGCATTGTGATGCGAGCAGCCCGTACTCTAGGAGAGGGCGAGAAGAAAGTCCCACAGCCTTTCCAGTCCTGGTCTTGGATGCTGCAGCCTTCACTTCCTCTCTAGTCTGTTCATTGGAGTGAGGCGCTAAGTCTTGCCCACACTCAGGGTTTGGGGTGAGAATCACCCTCCACCTCTTAAAGGGATGAGTGTTAAAAGTGTTTGTGGACATACGTGGAACATGTTCAGTGTATTGTTATGGAGTGCCAACAAGATTTGCTGAGGGATTGGATCCAGGGTGAGAAGGAAAGAGAGGAGTCAGAGATGACTCCAAGAATTTGGGCTTGAGCAGCTGGAAGGATGAAGTCTGTTTCTTGAGATGAGGAAGACACTGGCTTGGGGGAGAGTAGGAATTGAGCCAGGGCCGTGTTCAGGTTGACAGGACTATCAGCTGTCCAGGGGAGGTGGCAGGTTGGCTGTTGAATATTCCAGTCTGGAACCCAAGAGAGATGGCTAGAACTAGAGATGAAAATTGAGACGTCTTGAGCATATGGATGGTATTAAGTAACATGAGACAAGATGATGTCATCTCATGGGTGCCTGTGGATGGAGACAAGGCCCAAGAATGGAGCTCTGGGGTGCTCCAAGACCATCGGTGGGGAGATTGGGAAGGAATGAGACAGAGGCATGACCAGCAAGGGGTAGGGTCCTGGGACCAACTGGGCAGAGTGCTCGGGGAAGAGAGGAGAGCAGCAGAGTCCAACCTGCTAATGGGCCAGGTCAGATGGGAGACGGGATCAAGGGACAGCTGGTGACCTTAGTAACGGGGAGCACGTTGGAACTGCCATAGAGTAGTCCCGCTGGCGGGGAAGTAAGCACTCAAAGCTTGCCTGCAGCAAGGTCTGGAGAAGTGGGAAGAGGAAGACAGAATGGAGGCGGCTCACCAGTATCTTTTACTCTAATTGGGAGCAGAACAGTGGAGGGGTGGGTGAAAGGAGACCCGGGCAGGGACGGGGGAAGGGCCTTGGTTTCTGCTGTGGTGTTTTAAGGTGAGATGGGGGAGAAAATGTCCTTGTGCTAATGGGACGAGCTAGTGGAACTTGCTTATCCAGAGAGGGAGCCGTGATGGCCGGAGATCCGGGTGGGAGCCAGGGCTTGAGGCTGCTGCCCAGCAGGTGGGGCTGATCCCAGAGAGGAGGAAGGCTGAGTGCAGGCTTTGGTTTTGTCTCCATGAAATGGGAAGGTCACCGGCTGGGAGTGAGAATGGGAGAGGAGGTGTTGGGGGCTTGAAGAGTGAGGCGGCGTGAAAGAATCACACCTGGGGGATTGTGTAGGTCCCGGCACACACTTTACCCTCTGCATTCTGATGACATACGTGATGCCTCAGTCAGACATGCCCACTCAGCACTGAGCTGCCCATGCCGCGTACTCTGCCATTCTTGAGATCACCCTTGATTCTCTCAGTTGCTGCTGCCCTCCTTTGCTTGTTCAGGCTTGGTAGTAAGAGCCTCAGGTAGGGCAGGATGTGGACACACAGGTTGGTTAGAGGGTACTCGAAAACACGAAATTTACAACAACTGAGTGAACTCAATTGATATGGATTTAAATCTTTTTTTTTTTTTTTGTAACTTTCCAGTAGCATGTAATTGGAGCACAGATGTATTTTTTTATTGATCCATATTGGGTATACATATTTAGGGGGTATATGTGATAATTTGATACATTCGTGTAATTACATCAGGGTAATTGGGATATCCATCACCTTATGTATTTCTCCTTCCTTTACACTAGGAACATTCAAGTTATTCCCTTGCAGCTATTTTGAAATGTATCACCTTTTTTTTTTTCTTTTTTTTTTTGAGGCAGAGTCTCTCTCTGTCGCCCAGGCTGGAGTGCATTGGTGCGACCTGGGCTCACTGCATCTTCCACCTCCCAGGTTCAAGCAATTCTCCTGCCTCAGCCTCCCGAGTAGCTGGGATTACAGGCATGAGCCACTACGCCTGGCTAATTTTTGTATTTTTAGTAGAGGCAGGGTTTCGCCATGCTGGCCAGGTTGGTCTCGAACTCCTTACCTCAGGTGATTCGTTTGCCTCAGCCTCCCAAAATGCTGGGTTTGCAGGTATGTGCCACCACGCCTGGCGTGTATCACCTAGTAATGTTAACTCTAGTCACCCTGCTGATCTATCCAACACCAGGTCTTGTTTCTTCTAAGGGTATATTTGCAGCCATTGATCAGCCTCTCTTCATCCTCCCCCTCCCCATCCTTCCCAGCTGATTCTCGGTTTTTGTTTCTGACTCTGTTCAGTCTCCCAGTTGTGTATTTCACCATGGAAGTGCCACATGTCCATGTTAGGGCGTTAATATCACAAGGGTCCAAGGAATGGATTGTTGCCCTCCCCAGTTTCTTAAATACTGCCTGCTTCATGTCAGTACCTTATAAGCATGGCCCATCTTTTTAAAATCTTTTGGGCTTTCATTAAAGAATTTATAAATTTCTGATAGATTTATGTTTCTACAACTAATGTTGTTACTTTATCTGCTGAGATTTGGTTTTCTTGTTTATAGGTACAGACTCTTAATGAGCAGGATTGGGAACGTGCCCAGCAAGCTAGTGTCTTGGCAAATGTAGCACAAGCATTCGAGAGTGATGCTGACGTGTCTGATGGTGAAGATGACAGGGACACTCTCCTCAGCTCAGTTGACCTGCTGTCGCCCAGCGGCCAGGCCGACGCGCACACGCTAGCCATGATGCTTCAGGAGCAGCTGGACGCCATCAACAAAGAGATCAGGTGTGTGCAGCCGTGCATGACACTCACCACACGCGTGGGTGTCTCTGAGGAATCTCATCCTGCCTGGAAAAGTCTGGATGAAATACTATTAACATTTCTAAGTGTTCCATAATAATAGAACTTAGGGGGTTTTAAGAATTTTAAGTTCTGAAATTGCCCTTGAATATAAAATTCAAGTAACCAGGGCACTCTCCCCACAGTCACGGCACTGGTACCTTTCGGTAGAACATTGTGGGACCTGAGAGGTGTTCAGTCCTTCCCCTGGGAGGGTGCCTGAAGGGGCTCTGGGCCCGCCCGGCTCCCACTGCCGTCCTGAGAGCTGCACTTGGAAGGCCATGTGAGCTGAGCACATCTGGAGGAGGCCGATCGGCCTACCTTCCTGACCCGGAGTGCAGGTGAAAGGTGTGCACGGCGGTGGACTGGAAAGAGATGACAGACTGAAGCCTGCCTTGGATGAACAGCCTCCACAGGCCAGTGCCACTCACTAGAGAGACCAGTGCTCAGAACAAGTGCATGCCAGAGCGAGCACATAGGGTGGGAAGGCAGAGGGAGGGTTGCTTATCAACCGCCTTCTGGTCTGAGTGTCCCTCGTTGACCCTGAACCCTGAAAGGAGCGCGTTGCTGTCACCTGCCGTGTGTGCAGCCTCCTGCACAGAAGAGGCTGTGTGTAGTGCGTCCGTCAACCTCACGTGTTCAGGTCCCATCACACAGTGGCCTGGCACAGAACGCTGGAGCTCTTCCGGAGTGCACGCGCCACTCCAGTGTGCCTTTCCCTGTGTGAAGTTAACACGGACAGTGAGTGCTCAGAGTGCAGGTTTGCCCTCTAGTCTCATCAGTATTTTAAAGGGTTTTTCTTTAGCAACTTTAGCAGTTACGATGCAGAACTTCCAAAATGGGCCAACTGTAGAATGGAATCCAAGAATTGCTTTTATATTGACAAAGAGACCGGTAAACCCTGCCCACGCTGGCTTGGCCGAGGGACACAGCAGTGTGACCAGGGGGTGCCTGGGATGTACCCCCCAGGCCCTGACCTGACGTGCCGCTTGGCCAGCCTGAATCCAAGTGAGGAACAGGTGTGTGCGTGGAGTCCTGTGGCGGGTCTGGGTGGGGTGCTGCCAGGACTTGGTTGTGAAGTTTATGTGGGTAGAGGTGCCAGTCCTGAGAGAACAGGAGGTCAAGAAGAGAAGGTTAAGAGAAACATCAACAAGAGCTGTATTACTCCAGCTTTTTTTTTGATTAAAAAGAAAAAAAAATAGGGCTGTATGTTCTGAAGTAAGAAGTTGGTATGCTGCCGGTGTTTTTGACTTTATAAACTCCCATTTCATGTGCCATGTTGAAAACTAGTGAAGAGGCCCCTGCAGCAATCTGTTGCCAGGCATGGGGGCCCTTTGAAGGAGGAGGTGCAAAATAATACGATGTGTTCGGAAAGATAGTCTTTCCTCATCATTATGGGAGCTGGGAAAGGATTATATACCTTTTGTTTTTATTTTTATTTTTATTTTTATTTTTATTTTTGGAGACGGAGTCTCGCTCTGTCGCCCAGGCTGGAGTGCAGTGGCCGGATCTCGGCTCACTGCAAGCTCCGCCTCCCGGGTTCACGCCATTCTCCTGCCTCAGCCTCCCAAGTAGCTGGGACTACAGGCGCCCGCCACCTCGCCCGGCTAGTTTTTTGTATTTTTAGTACAGACTGGGTTTCACTGTGTTAGCCAGGATGGTCTCGATCTCCTGACCTCGTGATCCGCCCGTCTCGGCCTCCCAAAGTGCTGGGATTACAGGCTTGAGCCACCGCGCCCGGCCTGTTTTTATTTTTTATAATGTATTACTAGATAAAAGTGCTTCCTCTTCATGCAGAAAGTTGACCTGGTGTAAATGTTCTGTCCACTGACTTGTGGATTTTCTTCTGTTAATAATGATTAGGAATGTAAGTAGAGCTTTAATTGGAAGGGTTATTGCAAAGTTTCTATATTTTAATACTAGAATAATTATTATTGGCACAGTCAAATATTAAAACTGCTGTCTAGTGATCTACTCTAGGATAGAGGATCATTAATCTTGAATTCCAAATTTGTGTAGCATGGTTGGCATGAATCCAGAAATTTAGATGAGGATGGTAGAGAATCCCATCAGATAACACTCTGGTTCAAATTTAAACTTAAAAAAAAAAAACTCAGTATTTTCATTTAATCTAAACAGTTAAGTGTTTGGAAACTCCTAATTGCTTTGTGGATCTGTTCTTTATATTAGAGTTCCTGATTTCCAGTTGAAGAAATCTGTAGAAGTCTTCAGCTTTGCTCTAAGAATAGGGGAGATAAGGGTCATAAAATTTTAAAATATTGCTTAGTAAAGAAACTATTAATTGCAACCATAGGAAAAGTTGCCATCCAGCCTTCTCCAAAATTTTAGTGTAAATAAGTAAAATCAAATATGAATGATATCCAGAACCAACAAGACTCAATGGAAGGTTTACTTTTTGTTGTTGTAAGATGTAGTACATTAAAAAAGATTGAGGCCAGTGTGGTGGCTTATGCCAGTAATCCCACCACTTTGGGAGGAGGCTGAGGTTGGAGGATGGCTTGAAGCCAGGAGTTTGAGTCCAGCCTTGGCAACATAGGAAGACCTCGTCTGTACAAAACATTTTTAAAAAATGAGCCAGGCGTGGTGGTGCATACCTCTTGCCCCAGCTACTTGGGAGGCTGAGGCGGGAGGATCCCTTGAGCCCAGGAGTTCGAAGCTGCAGTGAGCTGTGATCATGCTACTGTACTCCAGCCAGGATGAGAGAGTGAGACTGTGTCTCAAAAAATATAAAAATTAGACTGGGCGCGGTGGCTCACGCCTGTAATCCCAGCACTTTGGGAGGCTGAGGCGGGCGGATCACAAGGTCAGAAGTTCGAGACCAGTCTGGCCAACATGGTGAAACTAAAAATACAAAAAATTAGCCGGGCATGGTGGCGCATGCCTGTAATCGCAGCTACTTGGGAGGCTGAGGCAGGAGAATTATTTGAACCCAGGAGGCGGAGGTTGCAGTGAGCTGAGATCGCGCCATTGCACTCTAGCCTGGGCAACAGAGCGAGACTCCATCTCAAAACAAACAAAAACATAAAAATTTAAAAAGAATAGGACATTTTTGCTGAAGCGTTCATTGAGTAACTTATTATTGGAGTTTACTCATAGTAATACAGAGTATAAGCATGGTCTTTCTCATGCAAACACATTAATCTGTTTGCCGAAACGGGAGGACTGACTGCTTTTGTTTTATTTTAGGTTGATTCAGGAAGAAAAAGAAAACACAGAGCAGCGGGCAGAGGAGATTGAAAGTCGAGTTGGCAGCGGAAGTCTAGACAATCTTGGTCGTTTTAGATCAATGAGCTCCATTCCCCCCTACCCTGCTTCCTCACTTGCTAGCTCCTCCCCTCCGGGCAGTGGGCGCTCCACCCCACGAAGGATCCCTCACAGCCCAGCCCGGGAAGTGGACAGACTGGGCGTCATGACCCTTGTACGTATCCGCCCTTTCTCTGCTGTGGCTGCCCTCAGCATACCTGTATGAAATTTTGGACACTACAAATCTACCCACAAGAAAATCAAGTACATTCATTATTCTAAGAGGTTCAAGATTATAAAAACTAGTTATTATTTAATCATTCAGTTATGACAAACTAATTTTAACATTTGGGACTGGGCATGGTGGCTCACGCCTGTGATTCCTCAAACTTTGGGAGACTAAGGTGGGCAGATCACTTGAGCCCAGGAGGTCAAAACCAGCTGGGCAACATGGCAAAACCCTGTCTTTACAAAAAGTAGCTGGGCATGGTGGTGTATGCCTGTAGTCCCAGCTACTCTGGAGGCTGAGGCGGGAGGATCACCTGAGCCTAGGAGGTTGAGGCTACAGTGAGCCATGATTGCATCACTGCCCTCCAGCCTGGGCAGCAGAGTGAGACCCTATCTGAAAACAAATCCCAAAAAATATTAAAATTTTTTTTAAATATTTGGATGACCAGGCTAGCAATACACCATTTGTTTGTGTGACATTAGGCATGACAACTGTGCAAAAGTACAGCAGCCAGAAGGGGAAATATTTTCTGTTTTCTAGGAAAAACTACTTAGCAAAAGTAAATAAAGGCAGACATCAGAGTATATGGGAAAATGTATAAAGGGAGTCAGTCCATTTCTTTCCTTTTGGAGTGCCCAGCCAGCTTCCAGGGCATCTACTACCGGAAAAAAAAAAAAAAAAAGGAAAACATGCGAAATGGGTTCTGCATGTGAAGCCGTGAACAAGCTAGCTGCTTCGTGGCTCCCTAAGGAAGCAGATGGGCTTCTTCCCTTCGCAGCTTAGGGTCACCTCTCACCTGGATATACGATGACCTTCTGGTGTTTGGCGTTTGCAAAGCGTGCGGGTCTGAGGAATGTTTAAAACTTTCCTGTGGGCCTGGCACAGTGTCTCACGCCTGTAATCCCAGCACTTTGGGAGGTCAAGGTAGGAGGATTGCTTGAGCTAGGAGTTAAGAGACCAGCCTGGGCAACATAATGAGAACCCCATCTTTATTTAAAAAAACAAAAAACAAAAAACCATCTTGTATATTTAGGATTTGTCAGTATGCTGTCAATGAAATATTTCATAATTAGACGATTTGCTTTTTAACTGCGCTTCTATCATATTTTTTCCCGTTACCATCTATTTTCATTTTTAGTTGTGTTGTTAGCCAGCATGCAATTAAATCGATGGTGAATCATTTTAGTGGCATATGAGGTGGTAACTAGTCTATTTTGCAGTGTTTTGAAATACTGTTTTTATAATTTACATCATCTAATTAGGTAATATTTTAAACTCTTTGACTGTTTTATTTGTGGTTTTATGCTTATTTCTGTCCAGAGAATTTGTAAAAACAGTTGTGTATGTTTATATATTTTTTCTGGTTTTGTAATTCCGTATGCTGGCTGACAGTCTCTATGCTTCCGTCATTGGTTTTGATTTCCTGTCATCCTTTTGTTTTATTATTTTAGCCATCTCCAGATTCATTTTTAATCCAGACCTCAGGTCCCCATCAGTCTGTAGTTTACTCATCCACCTCCCCTCCCAGTTCCATCCCATGCTATAGCGATTCTTCACAGCATGCTCAGGTAACCACGCAACTGTGTGTGTTCGATCATGTGTGAGTCTGTGCTGTGATGACTTTATTAATGGGTTGCTTTTCTCTTAGTTAAAAGTATCTTTTTCTCAATGATAATAAATTTAAATTAGTGTATTACTATATAGTAAGTATGGATACAGGCAAGACATAGGTGTTTAAGAGTGTTTTTACTCAAATTATGTAGGATTTCTGTAATTCATAAGTGTTTCCTACATAAATAATCTATCTAAGCGTAGACTTAATGGAAGCTGTTTACACAGACAGTATGCTTTGTGGTTCTGATGATTGTATTCAAGACTGTAAATCTCATCAGCTTGTTGAATCTCATCAGCTGCTGTCTCTAATAGGTTATTTTTAAATTAAAATATCTTACTTGAATCATAGGATGGATGTAAAGATTCTACCTAACATTATGCTAGCTTTTGTTCTTATATATTTTCACAGGATACCTTGCTTTAAGCAATAACTTTATTTTTGAGAAGTGGTAAATCAAATTCTAGGTAAGGATTTCACATTAATGTCCAACAGGTGATTAACTAAAAGTAGGTTTGTTCAGTTTTATAATTGGTATTGCAGTAACTTCGTCATCAGTTGGAATATTTTTAATTATAACATGGATTTTATTAAAGAAAACTAAGTTATAGAGAGATTTGGCTTAGAATAGATGATTGTTAGGGTCGTTTATTATATAGAATGCCATATTTTAATAAAACACAAGAAATAGAATTTTATCTAAGTAATAATTTATAGTGTTTCTCTAATAAACCTTTAATAACTTGTATTTAAATTTTTTGGTGAAAAAATGGTTCTGTATCCAATTACATTTTCTCTAAATCCTGTCTCCTGTCATTTCTATTTTAATATATTTGCTTATACTGATCCTTGAATTTCTAACTTCAAAGTGTATAGTAAATCTGGTTTCTCTTCATTTCTTTGCACGCATCTATCAGCCTAGTGATTTAAGGAAACATCGTAGAAAGGTAAATTGTTTAGTAATTTAACGTATCTTTGTATCTCAATAATGTATTGAAGAGTACCTATCATATTTTACATAAATACAGCATTATGTAGTTGTATAATAATGAATGGTTGGCATTTTAATGGAGGTGTCTAAAGTGACCTAGCACCTTACTGCATGATGGTTCTATTGGAAATTAGTCATTAGTGGTTTTCACAGAACACTGGGACAAATGTAACAGTTTGCCATTCTCTCACCTTTTTAGCCTTCTAGTCATCACATGCTTATTCATGGTAGACGTAGTTTTAAAAATAAGAAATTACTCATGCAAAGCTATGGATTGTAGATTCGGGGGGACCCATTTTTGTAATAGTCACAGCTAGCGTTGGGCTCTTGCCGTATGCTGGGCACTGTGCTGAGTGTTTCCCCAGTCTGGTGCAGGCTGAGTGTCCCTCATCTGAGATGCTCAGGGCCAGAGGGATTTCAGATTTCAGATTTGTTTGAATTTTGAAATATTTGCATTACACTTACTAGTTGAGCCTCTCAAATCTGAAAATCCAAAATCTGAAATGCTCCATTGACCGTTTCCTTCAAGCATCATGTCAGCACTCAAATTAGAGATTTTGGAGCATTTTGAATTTCAAATGTTTGGGTTTGGGATGCTCAACCCGTATTTAATCCCCATACACATCCCCGTGAGGTTACTGTTGTTATCTCCATTTTACAGATGTGGAAACTAAAGCTTAGAGAGGCCCCACAGTGCACAGTGCTGATTTGAGTTCAGATTTGTCTGATTTCAAAATCTGACAGGTGACCGCTTCACCATCTAGCCTTACTTGTCTCAGATACTCTGACCTCCCTGGCAGCATTCCCACAGAAGGAGGCCCAAGACCACTTCTCTTTAGAGATAACTGTGGATTGGGCCTTCCTGTTCTCGAAGGAAGTAGAGTACATTAAGAGCAGATCTGCTCGGTGGCTGTTCTTTATGTTGACCCAAAATCTCCCCCTCATAACTTTCACACTCTGGTCTTTATTCTGTGCTGGTGTCTGAAACCCGCCTGATGATGCGGTGACTGGACAGCTGTTTAGATACCTAAAGGCATCTGTCTCTGACAAAAGCGTGGGACCTGGTCAGCAACTGTCTGTGAGCTCTCTGTTGGATGATTTAGTGAAACTGCTTGGGTTCGGATCCCAGTTTAATCACTGATGAGTTTGTGAGCTGGGGTCTGTTTCTACTTCGGTTTGCTCTCCTGAGAAGTGAAGATGATGATAGAACAGTGCCACTTAAAGTGGCATTGGACCTGTGGCTGGCTGTGGTGAGATAAGGAGCTTACACCAGCAGCAAAAGACACAGAGCACGGCCTTCAGTTCAGCTGACTTCTATTGGATTGTGTTTTCTTTATTTTTTGATAGCAAGATTTTCTCAGTGAAGGAAGCATTATGTTGATTAATACTTAGGCATGATAACCTGGCCCTGTTGGTCACTGGTAACTTCAGCGTGCTGCTTGGTGGCTTTGAGGAGCCTAGTCCTTGGGTGGTTGTGAGGTTAAACCAGGTGTGTGTGCAGAGTGCCAGGCCTGGTGCCAGACCTGGTCCACAGAAGACTGTCGCCTTCATTCTCTGTGTCAGTGGTGTTGGTGTGGACCAAGAGGACTTCCCCGCTCTCTAGTAGGCCTGAGCTGGGATGGAGGCGGAAGTCTGGCACGTGACAGCACTACAGCGTACGGAGGAGTGCAGAGGGCGGCGTGTGGGGGAGTGCGGAGAGTGGCGTGTGGAGGGATGCGGTGGGCAGCGCTGGCCAGGCTCTCGGGGCTTTCCCCAGACTCTGTTAACAGCTTACAGCCGGCTGCATGTCAGCGTGCCCTGTACCCTGTTTTTGGTTTTGTTTTTTTAAAACAGATGATTGTTTTAACCTGAATTTTGAAACTTAAGCTTCATATTGATAATTTCTAGATATGAAAGCCTTTCATTGTCTTGTGATTGTAACTGGAAAGTAGGAAAGGATGCAGGATTCATTTGCTTTTTAACTGTCATTTGAGATTGTGTCCTAAATGAGCACAGCTCCATTTTGCATTGAATGCACTTGGTCCTCCCTGAGCCACAGTGGGGCTACAGTAGGATTGATATACTTTACACAATCCCATTTAAAAAGCAGAAGTTCAAACTGAGCCCAGTGGTACATGCTTGTAGTCCCACCTACTTTGGAGGCCGAGGCAGAAGGATCAGTTGAGCACAGGAGTTTGAGGCCGTAATGCAAAACGATCACATCTGCAAATAGCCACTGCAGTCCGGCCTGGGAATCGTAGCAAGAACCTGGCTCTTAAAAAATTTTTTAATAAAATAAAGTTTACCGTTCAAGTCTTGCTGTTTATAGTAATGCTTGCTCAACGTGTTTTATGAAATCTAGTCCCAATCAAAACCAGAAAACACAGATGTATAAGCAGGATCTGCCTAGACCCTGCAGGGGTGAGTCTGTTCACTGTTGTTGCCACCATCCTGCTCCCTCAGCACATGGGCATATTCATGCTCCACTGCAAAAACGAAAAACCCTGGGAATCTGACAAAGATCATCTTGTATTGATAAGCCTGGAAGTATTTTCTTTTAAGCCATATTGAAGAAAAATGTTTAAACTGCATAGAAGTGCTTCAATTTATAGTGTCCAGTCCAAACATTGTTGAGAAATATGAGCCATAGACATGTGTATGGGTGGCCATGGGCTGTTCCTTGTTTATTTTTTACCCTTTCAGACAAAAAGGTATTTGACAATTTTGCCCCAGAGGTTTCTGCCGTCTCTAGAGTGTCTTTCGAAGTACATCAGGAGGTAAACGTCGCTGGCTCTTCATTAGTGCGAGTTAATGCTGTCTGACATTTGTAACGATATGGTTTATAGGTGTTGTTCGGATCTCTGTAGCTGAGTGACTGTCCTCATAATGTGCCTAGGATAACCTCGGGCTGCATGGAGGAGGCTGAGGATGAGGGGCATCCCTGTGTCCTGCTGGCCCAGTGCACGCTCGTGGGGAGGCAGACCAGGAGTCTGACGGCTCTGTGGTGCTGTGCTGCGTGGCCCTTCAGAATGGTGCCAGACTGAAACAAGACTTTCTGTGCTGGCAGAAAGCACAGCGAATCGATTTTCAAAAGAAGTTTATGGCTATTATTTAAGGCCTGAGTTTTTCACAGTCTGCTATTAACTGACTTTGAGCTTCTCTCACCCTTCAGTTGCCACCTTCCAGAGAAGAGGTACGAGATGACAAGACAACCATAAAGTGTGAAACCTCCCCGCCTTCCTCCCCGAGAGCCCTTCGGTTAGACCGGCTGCACAAAGGGGCGCTGCACACCGTCAGCCACGAGGACATCAGGGACCTAAGGAAGTAAGGAGCCTGCAGCAGCCCCGTGCAGAGCATACTTGTCTTTTCGTTTCCAGTGTTGAGAAATCGACGAATCTTTTCTTGACTAAAACAATGATTTTCTAGAATTGTCTGTTAATTCAGTTGAGTGTATTTACATGTTACACTTAGAATGCCTACCACTGCTCTGGGCTACAGTGAAATCCAGCAGAAAATGCATATCTGTTTGGGCAAGCTTAGTTTGGAAAGGAAGGAGTTAAATGATATCAGCAAGTTTTGGAAAAACTTCATGTCTTCAGAGTCTACAAATTGACTGCTTTCTATTCTTGATGGAGAGTTTGGCAAGCAAATGACAGACTTGGGGTTGGAACCGCCCTCTAGGACAACCCATGCCTTTTAGACGCCCTCTTGCGCCTTTTATAAGCTGTGGAGAGTTCCAAGTTGTACTTACCCATTTACTGAGTGTCCCCACTCAGGAAACCAATCAGCTGTTTTGTTACTAGTATGCCATCTATGCTCTCTTTTTCTTTTTGAGACAGTCTCACTCTATTGTCCAGGCTGGAGTGCAGTGGCATGATCTTGGCTCACCACAGCCTCCGCCTCCCCGGTAGCTGGGACTGCAGGCGCACGCCACCATGCCCAGCTACTTTTTGTATTTTTAGTAAAGATGGGGTATTACCATGCTGGCCAGGCTGGTCTTGAACTCCTGAGCTCATGATCCGCCAGCCTTGGCCTCCCAAAATGCTGGGATTACAGGCGTGAGCCACCGCGCCCAGCCCCTCTTTTTTCATACTCCATTGGATTTCGGTTCTGTGCCAGGCAATATGCAGGGGAGGCATGTATATTAATTTTTGCAGTAACCCCTCAGGCAGTTAACATTGCCACGTTTCTCAGCTGAGCAGAGTAATGCTCAGGGCAGTTGTGGGAGCTGCTGGAGGGGTAGCAGGCGGACCACTGAGTTTTGGAACCTGATGGCGCGGAGTCAGGGCCTCCCCTGGAGGGAAGGGGAGCTCCGTGTCAGAGAGTCTCAGCTGCCCAGAATGGGTCTCTGTGCTGGCCTCACCGGGAGCCTGCCTTTGTCATGCATGATGCACTTGGTGAGGAAGATGTGTGTGAAAGAGACTGGAAGTGCTTGTAGGGAAGTTTGCAACTGTTAATATGTGAAGTATCCTACAACGCACATGGTAAAGATCCGTTTTCTTTCCTCGAAGCTCCACAGGCTCCCAGGATGGTCCCGTGAGCAATCCCAGCAGTAGCAACAGTAGCCAGGACTCGCTCCACAAAGCCCCAAAGAAGAAAGGCATTAAGTCCTCCATTGGCCGCTTGTTTGGCAAGAAAGAAAAGGGCCGACCTGGACAAACCGGCAAAGAAGCATTAGGACAAGGTTGGTTGGTTTTCCGCACCCTTCCCAGCAGCCAGGGGTCGGGGAGGAAGGCACTGCCTTCGGTGCCAGCAGTTCCCATGCGGTGCTCCGGCAGCCGTGTGCTCTCCAGGGAGCAGCGGCTGTGAAGGCCTGGGAGCTAGAGAGCAGTGGTTTATGCTCACTTGCCACTCAGGTACCACACGTTTTCTGTCTTTGAGCATTTTTGTCTTGCGCATTTGGTTGTCTAGTCAGAAACTTAGGCTTAAGAAATGATTTCCCTCTGAACCTGCAAATATTCATCCGCCTATTTATGAAAACATAGAACTTTGTCATGCTGATTTTTACTTCTGGGCTGTTCTGCTTCCTCGTAGCTGGCGTTTCCGAGACAGATAATTCATCTCAGGATGCCTTGGGACTTAGCAAATTGGGAGGACAGGCTGAAAAAAATCGTAAACTTCAAAAAAAGTAAGCTTTGTATTATTTCTTCATCTCATTGCATGGTTTTCAGTTGTGCCTAAGCTCTAAGTAGTGTTCGTTAATTATAATATGTAGCTATGTATATATACATTGTATTCTGAAAGCTTTACCTACAGCCTTAGTTAAGCCCTACTTTCTGAAGATTTAGAGTGTGAAATTTCGAAGAAACTCACACTGGTATCCCTATTGTCTTGGAAAGTTGTCCAACTAGGAGATAGGATGGGTGAGAGTTGGACTCGGCTGCCTGAGCACTGGAGTCGGCCCTGGCGCCTGCTCAGGTTCACTTTGTGACGTCGAGGAAGTGACTTAGCATCTCTGTGCTTCAGTTTTCTCATCTGTAAAGTGGGGATCCTAGTAGTACATACCTTGTATGGCTTTTATGAGAATTAAATGGGATGATATGCATGAAGTTATTTAAACAGTGCCAGCAAGTCATAAACCAGTTGTAACTGTGGCCACTACAGTGACTGTTGTTTGCCAGCGTTCAGCATTTGCTCTTCATGCTAGTAATCTGCCTGAAACATTTGTCATGTTGCATTTTTTTCTCTTCTATAGATTTTGTACTTTTATCTCAGAGAGACTCCAGATTTTATAGCCTGTTTATTAAGTTTTAATTCTAAACTAAGTCTGCTTCTGACAATAAGCTGTAATATTTGGGATGGCTTTCAACAAAGGAGCACAGGCATTGTGATGCCCCGGGGTGAGGGCATGGAGGAATCAGGTTCCTGTCCCTGGGCCTTCTGGGATGTGGGGTGAGTTGTGTGTTGGCTGACCGTAGATGAACTAGATAGGCTGAGACAATGCCCGAGTGAGCTAACAAACGATGAACAAAACTAAAGCCACTTCTGTAATAAAATAAGCAGTTTGTGTAGTCTATGGGGTAAGGCCTGAGCTTGAGAAATGTGGAAGATGGTAACGCCAGGCTTTGAGACAGGGTGAAACTTGATGGGCTGTGTGATGACTCTGAGTGTGGGAAGAATCATCTGGCCACTTTTAAGTGCCCTAAGAAACCAACGCTCATCTGGAAATTGGGGCCCAAAGACACTGGTTCCCAGAAGCACCAGAGCCTGCAGGGACCCTCTGCCCTAGAGGCCCCTTTGCCTTTAGCCCCCAGAGTTGCCAGCTGATTTTTTCTGTTGTGAAATCTGTCTCATTTTAGTTTTCTTTTCAAAGCCTTTATAAATAACTTTATTGATTATATTTTAGGTAAAATGCTCTTAAATATTAACAATACCATAGGAATACTCAGGTTGTTTGGTTTCCTGTAAATGGAAATTTATAGAAACCACTTAACAGCAAAATCTGATTTGAACATTGCTATGCTTGAACTGTGTAAGAATGTTTTTTTTGTTTGTTTGCTTTTGAGACGGAGTCTCACTCTGTCTCCCAGGCTGGAGTGCAGTGGTGCGATCTTGGTTCACTGCAAGCTCCACCTCCCGTGGTCACGCCATTCTCCTGCCTCAGCCTCCCGAGTAGCTGGGACTACAGGCACCCGCCACCACGCCCAGCTAATTTTTTTGTATTTTTAGTAGAGACGGGGTTTCACCGTGTTCGCCAGGATGGTCTCCATCTCCTGACCTCGTGATCCACCCACCTCGGCCTCCCAGAGTGCTGGGATTACAGGCATGAGCCACTGCGCCCAGCCAAGAATGTTTTAAAATAACTTGGGTAATTGCCATTTGGCCCTGTGAAACTTAATGTTAGGACTAAACTTTCTGCCTCCTGGAAACATCCTAGGAAAATTTCATTCCTTAGATTTTGCTAATGTTACTGTTTTTATTATAGTAAGTATGAGGAAGTGAAATAAAACTTCTCTGTCCTTTATGTTGTGCTTGGGATCCATGTGGAAGTTCTGAAATGTACCAGCTCCTTAGTGGGGAAAATTTCCAAGTACAAAGATTATTTGTCTGACTATAGAGGGCAGTTTCATTTCTTTCACTTAAACTGAGATAAAATTGATTTTAGAAAAAGTGCTTTATTGATTGATTGATTGATTAATTGATTGAGATGAAGTCTCTCACTGTGTCGCCCAGGCTGGAGTGCAATGGCACGATTCTGGCTCACTGCAACCTCCACCTCCTGGTTTCAAGTGATTCTCCTGCCTCAGCCTCCCAGTAGCTGAAATTACAAGTGTGTGCCACCGTGCCCAGCTAATTTTTTAGAATTTTTAGTAGAGACGGGGTTTCACCATGTTGGCCAGGCTGGTTTTGAATTCCTGACCTCAAGTGATCTGTCCACCTCTGCCTTCCAAAGTGTTGAGATTACAGGCATGAGCCACCACGCCCGGCCTAAGGTATCTACATATAAATGTGAAAAAAAGTTTGCATTTTCTGGAAAAAGTATTATATGAATACAGTTTAATATTTATGCCATTCTTAAGAATGAAATTATATTTCTCAGAATTATTTTCTTCTTCTTAACCCCTGATTTCACTCAAAAGTGTGCTTTTAACTGCAAAATTTACACAGCCAGATGCTTTCACTTACAGAGAATTTAAGGAACCTGGTGAGTTTGGTGGCAAGCTGATTTCAAGTTTTGTAAGACACAGTGTGGTGGGCGCATTTGGTACCTGGGATACGTGGTAGTGAACCCGCAAGTCGGGGCTGGCTGTCCTAAAGACGTTCATCAGCTTTGATAGTGCATAGTGATTCCACAGCACTTCTGGAATTCCCCAGGGTTATTGAAACGCCATCTCTTGAAGTAACCTTGCTTTTAAAGTGTTCCCTTTTCATGTTCTCCTTTTTGTCTTCCTAGTGCTTTCTCAGGGTAATCAGACTTGGGAGATTTGCTGGGCTGAGTGTGGGCAGTCACCAGCCACAGGCTCTATGCTGAGCTTCCTGAGAGGATCTTTTTATTTTTTTATTTTCGCCCTTGCACGGTTGCCCAGGCTGAAGTGCAGTGGCACATTCACCACTCACTGCGGCCTTGACTTTTATTTTTAGTAGAGACAGCGGTCTGACTGTGTTGACCAGGCTGGTCTTGAACTCCTGGCCTCAAGTGATCTTCCTGCCTCTGCCTCTCAAAGTGTTGGGATTACAGGTGTGAGCCATCACATTTGACCCAAGGATCTTTTTAGTTTTGCATGAGAAATGCTGATTCCATCCATTTCTCATCAGGGCGAGCCTACATCTTTCCTCAGGATTCTGCCAGTGTGCCATGGCCATGGAGCGTGGGAGGGGCTGTGGCTGGGTCACAGAACCGTACTTGTGGTGGTGGTATTTTTTTACGGTTTTTGGAGAGGGTCCTGCTCTGTCACCCAGGTGGCAACTGTACCTATGAAAGCAAGTCTCGTTCACTGTGTGCAGGGTCCAGGGGATTGAACAGCTTCAGTCTTATGAAAGCAAGGTAATATATTTAGTTTGGATAGTTAAATGAAAGTACTTCCTCCCTATCCCTTACACAATATTTGATCAGCAAAAACTCACACAAGCTTCTCATTATGAAAGACTTTACCATTATGCTATGTCTTAATTATAAAATGTACAGCATTATTCACAAATTATATGACCTTTTTGCATTATAGCATTCTCAGTAGCCAGTGAAAGAGCCAAGTCTGAGATCAAGCAATAAAGGAGGAATGTAGTTGTTCATGTAAAGGAACAGCCCAGAGGGCCAGGGTGGAGTGGCCTCAGCCATCTCCAAGTTCTGGACTCTGCATCCCCTCGACACAGGGGACTTCTTCCATAATTGGAACAGTTCCCCCAGAGAAAACAGGGGCTCTGGTGTTCCCACCTGGAGTGTCAGCGCAGGGGTAAGGTCCCATGTTTGATCTTAAAGATCATGGACTGGTCTGATAGGGGAGGGGAGCCAGGACACACACTGAGGCCTGGGCCTGCCACCCAGATGGGGTCTCCTCTGCCTTCTTCCTAACTTCCTGTGACTCTTACACACATCCGTCTACCTCCACTGTCTTAACAGTGTTTCCACTGTTGCTTCTGGACCCAGAAGCGTCTCCATTCTGGAAAAGACTTTATAAAAACTAGTGATCATTGCCAGGAAGACGGTACTGGTGAAGTCCAGGACAGTGTACACCAGTCTCCAAGTAATAGAAGTAAAGGATTATTTTTTGACAGTTATTTTTGTTTACAGTGAGTATCTATTACATGTTAAAAAATGAAGTCTCTGGCAGAGTGCCAAGGCTGAGCATAAGCTGGAAGCCCTCCTGACTTGGCAGCAGTCAGATCCTCCTTGCTTCTTGGCCAGGCCACGGACGCTCAAGGCCTTAGCAGTTAACCAGATAGTCAGCATTCAGAGCTTTTTCTGGGATTGATGTGGCAGGAATTAGCTGTACTACTTGCTAGACCCACCAGTGTGTGAAGGAAGCTCTACTGACTGTTGTTGAGGGGCATTTGTCCCAAGGGAACGGAAAGCAGGTTTTCAGCCACCACCTGGTGACTGGTGCCATGCAGTGCGCCCTTCCTCCCAGCCCCCTCATTTCACATCTTGCGATACCACTTCATACTCCTAAGAAAAGTCTGCGGCTATTGAAATGTAGTGAAGAGCCAATATCAACTTTTTAGAAATAAGAGATTCTGTGGTATGTCTTACAGAAATTATTATAGAGAAAATGGACTAAAAGCAGCCTAGGGATGTTTACATGACTTGGGGATATCTTTATGTGCAAACCAAATGTACGTGTCCTCTCCGTTACAATGACATCTTCTCTCTGAGGCTTTTTATTTTTTTAAACAATTAGCTAGCCTCTTTGAAAGCCTTGTAGGTAAACACTTGAGAAATAAAATGAGATTCACCAAGCTTATAGTGTTATTTCTCAAATACCTATGTTAGACAACATTATGTTAACCGTGGGTATTTAAAAATGAGGCATACAGAATATTTCCGATCACATAAAGAGATCTGTGGCAGGACTGACGCCTGCCTGCCTCCTTGTGGTCACCAGTGACACATGGATTCTTGCATTCAGGATTCCCCTGCACTGAGAAAACTGTTAGGGTTTCAAATCTCCCGGGTAGGAGGCCTGTGGGTTAAGCCACAGATGACCCAGTGACTTGATTCAGCAAGTAATCAGCTAAATAGCAGTGTAGAGACAGCCATCCACTGCTTGCCTGCTAGATTAGATCATAACATTGTAGTGTTAAAAAGCTGCAATATTCTTTTTCCTTCTTTCTTTGGGTAAATGCTGAACATTTTTAAAGATTCTCATTGAGATAGGCTACTTTGTTTAGACCAAGGTGTGGTTTCCTCTTTCCAGATAGTTGTCTTCATTGTTTAAAAAGGGAATTGTGATTGTTTTCCTTGAATGTCCTAGACCTTGGATGTGAAGGCTCTGCTTTTGTTTTTTTGTTGTTGTTGATTTTTTTGTTGTTTGTTTTTTGAGATAGAGTCTTGCTCTATCACCCAGGCTGGAGTGCAATGGCATGATCTCAGCTCACTGCAAATTCTGCCTCCCGGGTTCAAGTGATTCTCCTGCCTCAGCCTCCCGAGTAGCTGTGATTACAGGCATGCGTCACCATGTCCAGTTAATTTTTTGTATTTTTTAGTAGAGATGGGGTTTCACCGTGTTAGCCAGGATGGTCTCGATCTCCTGACCTCATGATCCGCCCACCTCAGCCTCCCAAAGTTCTGGGGTTACAGGCATGGGCCACCGCGCCCAGCCTCTGCTGGTGTTTTTAAAGTTGGTAATAATTCTTTGATTCTGTAAGGAGGTGGGGATTCTGTAGGGAATCAGAGGGAGTCATTCAGTGTTTTCTCACTCAGGCATTCTTTGTAGTGTGCACAGAACTAATGTGGAATGGATGGTGTTGATAATGTAAAACTGTAGAAGATGAAAGGAAAATGATGAGAATTTATAGTCATGTCTCAGAGTCTGTGGGGGATTGGTTCCAGGACCCCTCCTGAAGACCCAAATCCATGGAAGCTTAAGTCTTCTGTATAAAATGTCACGGTGTTTCCATATAACATAGGCATAATCTCCCGTAGACTTCAAATCGTTTCTAGGTTCCTTAGAATACCCAGTGGAATGTAAATGCTTTGTAAATAGCTGTTGTGCTGTATTGATTTTTATTGTTTTTTCCCACTGAATATTTTTGATCTGCAGTTGATTGAATGTGTGGATGTGGAAGCCACAGATACAGAGGGCAGACTGCGTACTGTTAGACTTTTGCAAATGCTCAGAACACTTTGTTAACTTATTTTATATATGCATATAATAGTGGTTCCTTGATTTTGTTTTTGTTTTTGCTGGTTTTAATTTTTGTTTTTTAGAGATAGGGTCTCACTCGGTTGCCTAGGCTGGAGTGCAGTGGCACAGTCATGGCTTACTGTAGCCTCGGCCTCCTGGACTCAGGCAGTCCTTCCACCTCAGCCTCCCAAGTAGCTGAGACTACAGGCATGCGTCACCATGCCTGGCTAATTCTTTTTAATTTCTTTTTTAATTTTTTGTAGAGATGCATCTTATTATATTGCCCAGGCTGCTCTTGAACTACTGGCCTCAAGCAGTCTTCCTGCCTCAGCCTCCGGAGCAGCTGGGACTACAGAGGTGTGCCACTACACCATGCTAATGTTTAAAATTTTTTGTAGAGATGGGGTCTCGCTGTGTTGTCTAGGCTGGTCTTGAACTCCTGGGCTCAAGTGGTCCTCCTGCCTCGGCCTCCCAAAGAGCTGGGATTACAGGTGTGAGCTACCATGCCTGGCTGATTCTCTAATTTTCAATGTCTTCTCCTTTGTAGGCATGAATTGCTGGAGGAAGCCCGGAGACAAGGTTTACCTTTTGCCCAATGGGACGGGCCAACGGTTGTGGTCTGGCTGGAGGTACGTCCTTCATTTAACACGCAGTTGCATGGGTTACAGTATGTGAACTTGCAGTTCTGCCTTGTAGACTGTACCTCACTGTGCTGCCTTCCGCTTTCTGCCTCCAGCTCTGGGTTGGGATGCCAGCCTGGTATGTGGCTGCGTGCCGAGCAAATGTGAAAAGCGGGGCCATCATGTCGGCCCTGTCCGACACGGAGATCCAGCGTGAGATCGGCATCAGCAACCCCCTGCACAGACTGAAGCTGAGGCTGGCCATCCAGGAGATCATGTCGCTGACCAGCCCGTCCGCCCCACCCACGTCTAGAACGGTACGTTCAGAGACAAGCCCTGCATTCTTTGGAAACAGGGAATGCCTCTCTGAAGGTATCACTGCCCTGTTTACATTGCTTCTCCAGTTCCTTAACAGCACATCAAGTATAGTTCCAATTCAAAATTTTAGCATCAGATACATTAGGACTTTTAATTTTGGGGGAATTGGATGGTCAAAGAAACTTCATTAAATGCTTTTATGAAAGATTGGCTGGAATGGCATCATACTATAAAAAAAATGAGCTTTTTTAAACATAGAAAAGCAATTATAAATTTAAATATGAAAATATGAAAAATATGAAATATGAAAATACTTAAAAAATTGGTAGAGATGGGGGTCTCGCTGTGTTGCCCAGGCTGGTCTTACACTCCTGGGCTCAAGCAGTCCTCCCACCTCAGCCTTCCAATGTGCTGGGATTACAGGCATGAGCCACCATGCCCGGCTGAGTTTATCAAAATTGAATCGGTCTAAGGGCCTCTTGAAGGAAAAAGTTAATATTTAAGGACACATTTTATAATTGTTTTGAATTTCATTTTTCAGTTTTTGTGATTCAAACTGAATGAGTAATTAACATTTGTACTATATATAGATCTTTGCTAAGCCAATTATAGTGTGTTTTTAAATGTTACTGGAATATAATATACATATAGAGAAACACACATATGAGCGAACAGTTAAATGATTTGTAAGTCAGCATCGCCTGTGTGGTCCACGCCTACACTGAAAAATGGGATCTGACCAGGGCTCTGAAGGCCTCCTGCTCCTTTTGAGGCACTGCCCCTTCCCTAGGGGTGAGTGCTTGGCTCCTGACGCCATAGACTGCTCTGTTTGTTTCATTCTTTATGTGGATAAACAAGATCCTGTAGTATTCACTCTCTTGTGTCTGGCTTCTTTCACTTAATGTTATGTCTGTGAATTCATTTGTGTCATTCTATGTGTAAGCAGCATCTTGAGTAAAATTTTTGTGTCTAGTTCAGAGGACCGGCTCTTCCGCCTTCTTAGCAGCACCCATTTATTTATATATTTATGTATGTATGTATGTATTTATTTAAGTTCTTTAGTTTTTAGAGGCAAGGTCTTACTCTGTCACCCAGGCTGGAGTGCAGTGGCTCAGTCATAGCTCACTGCAGCCTCAACCTCTTGGGTTCAAGCGATCCTCCCACCTCAGCCTCCCAAATACTTGAGACTACTGGTGTGCACCACCACACCTAGCTACTTTCTAAAAACTTTTTAGAGACAGGGTCTTGCTATGTTGACCAGGCTGGTCTGGAACTTCTGGCCTCAAGTAGTCCTCCTGCCTCAGCGTCCCTGAGTGCTGAAGTTACAGGTGTGAGCCACCATGCCCAGCCAGAAGCATCTATTGAAATATAGCTGACATACTAGTAAGAGATACTTGTTATCCCACCGTCAAAATTGATCCCTAAGGCATTTTTGTATTTTTTGTAGAGAATGGGTCTCACTGTGTTGCCTAGGCTGGTCTGGAACTCCTGGGCTCAAGCGATCTTCCTGCCTCAGACTCCCAAGTAGCTGTGACTACAGGCATGCACAGCCATGCCTGGAAAAGGTCCCTAAAGAATTCTAATCCTCCCTTCCCCATCATTCCAGTTTGTGAACAATTTTTTTTTTTTTTTTTGAGACGGAGTCTTGCTCTGTCACCCAGGCTGGAGTGCAGTGACGTGATCTCGGCTCACTGCAAGCTCCGCCTCCCGGGTTCATGCCATTCTCCTGGCTCAGCCTCCTGAGTAGCTGGGACTACAGGCGCCAGCCACCGCGCCCGGCTAATTTTTTGTATTTTTAGTAGAGACTGGGTTTCACCGTGGTCTCGATCTCCTGACCTTGTGATCCGCCCACCTCGGCCTCCCAAAGTGCTGGGATTACAGGCGTGAGCCACCATGCCCGGCCCTGTGAACAATTTTTTAAAATAAAAACTAAAGGGAAAAATAAAGATGAGATCACTGGTTGCCTTATAACCAGTGTTTTACTGTATTTGATTTGTTTGGCCTGTAGGTATTTTCCGTTTGGGGAGCTAAGGACCCTGGGAGCTCAGGATTTCAAGCAGTTCACAAATCTGCAAATGTTCATCCAACATGAGCTGTACTCATACAGTTTCTCTCCATGTGGGAAGTCCCTGAAAGCCCTTAAGAAGGGTTATCCTACTTGAGAAAGAAGAACTATGTTAATAAAAACAAGAATGGTTATTGGGAGATAAGGGCAGGCCAACTCCAGATGTATAAAGTTCAGACTTTTTACACTGGCTGGATTCCCAGTCTCTGCTTTTAGTCTCCTCAGGAGAACACAAATTGTTGTTGCGATGAAGAGCCTCCCAGGCACACTTCTCCAAGGAGCACATCACCGCTGGATTCAGGGCTCCCAGTTTACCTTACAAAACAAGTTTTGAGGGGTTTTATTTGTTTTATTTATTTTTTTCTTCTTAGTGAACAAATTATGGTGATGAACAATAAGCTTTGTCCTCCCCTGTTGCTCCGAGAGCTCCTTTCCCATGGCCTGCCTCGGGAGCAGTGTCTGAGCTCTTCTCTGGTTGTTCTACATGAGAGTGGCCTTGCTGAAAATGAAGGTGCTGAGTGGTTTCTCCCGTGTTTATCCACTGTCTTCAGTAATGACGGAGAACACCTCACCTAAGGCAAACTTCACACCATGTCAAAGTGTAAGGAAAAAATCTCCCTCAAGTAGACACACAGGCCACTGTCTGTCTCGTGTCTGGTTCTGATGGCTGCACAGAGCCATCGACACTGCTTAGCACATCCGTGACCCTCTCTGCCTGTGGCCTGCCTTCAGCCTTCCAGGCCATCACGGAGCATCTGCGGCAGAAAGCCCTCCAATGGCCAAAGCAAGAGTTTCATGCTGGGTTCTTTGTTGTTAATCTGTTTTAAATATATTGAATCAATAGTTACTTGAGAATTACTCAAAGTTTCCAGAAGTACACAACGTGTTTTCTTCTCTTGATATTTCACATACCTCGGGTAAGCATGGCATCTAAAGCTCTGGGCATCGTGTGCTCTTCTCCTGGTGGTGTTGACCACACGGTGTTAACAGGGAATGGTTATTCTGTACGGGCATCTGAACTGAAAAGTGAGAAGAGCGAACTTTGCCTCCTCGGCCCCTTCTCTGTGCCTGTGGCTTATGCGTGTGCCCCTCTCCTCTTTGTCACTGCTTCCCTTGCCCTGGATGTGGTTGGTGCACTGGGGTCACCTTAGACCACAGGAAATGTCTGGTTAACACACGAAGAGATGGAAACGCTCGCAGCCACGCCGCAAACGGTTAGTCACGCACCACAGCCTGCACTCCCCCCGCGCATTTTCCACTAAGACCGTCTGAGTTCTTTGCCTTTTTGTTGAAACAAAAATGTTATTTTCCATTCAATTGTTCCAGATAAGTATTTCCTTTAGTTACTAGTTGAATGTGTAAGTAGAATTTGTATTTTAGATTTTTTCCAGGAACTTAAAGTTGGTAGACTCTCTCTTTAGAATAGCTTTAACCTAGCTCTCTTTTTGGAGAGATCTCAGTTGAGCCTCCGTGTGTCTGTGTGGCCCTTTCTCCTTCCATGGATGTGCTTGGCATGGAGAGAGTCTGCTTCTTGCATGAGAAGTTGAAATTGTTGGTTTTGCATGAGTTTTGCATGATGCTTTGCCAGTCTGAACTTTTTCACTCAGTGAAGCTGCATCTTCCCTGCAGAGTTGCTTTGCCTGCACTACCGAGCTCACCAATACTAATAGTTATGTTCTTTTGCATTCCTAACCACGTAACCCCAGGAAGATGAGGAGGGAAGCTGGGCTCAGGTTGGAGTCTTTCTGTAATATATTCTTCACTACATGTACAGCAGCAAAAAGCAATTGGAGTATGAAAACTTGTGTAATCTACTTTTTTTGATGTTTATAGCATCTTAATTTATTCAGAGTACAGGATTGTTAATGATTTGAAAGCACTGGTCAAGCATAGGATTAAAGAGTACGTCTCATGGACAATTTTGAACATTTCTCATATGGTGCCATGGCAGTTATTTTTAATTAATATAGATTGCTTTGTTTAACATATGATCTTTTATACAAAGTCTTGTGGCTTAGGCAGCTTCTGAGATTATGTATGTAATTTCCTGGTAGGGTAACGTTAATTACAAGATATACTGATGGGGATATTGTGTTCTAATAAATTTCCAAACATAAAAATTGGCATAGTGACTTTTCCTCTGTGTCTTTGTGTTGATTTTTTTTACTAAATACTATCCTAATACTATGTCCACTTAAAGATTTTCTTACTAATGGAATCCTAAGGAATTAAGCCTCTTCTCGAGTACTGTACATTTGAATTTTCAGCTGCTCAATTCTTTAACTCACCAAAAGCTCTATCCCAACTGTTTTGCATTCTGTACGTTCAGACAGCTTGCCGAAATGTCAGCGGTTCCTTCCGTGCAATGCCACCAGCCTTCTGTGGTCAGGGTGTGTGCCTCAGTGGCCTTCTGTGGTCAGGGTGTGTGTCTCAGTGGCCTTCTGTGGTCAGGGTGTGTGTCTCGGTGGCCTTCTGTGGTCAGGGTGTGTGTCTCGGTGGCCTTCTGTGGTCGGGGTGTGTGTCTCGGTGGCCTTCTGTGGTCGGGGTGTGTGTCTCGGTGGCCTTCTGTGGTCGGGGTGTGTGTCTCGGTGGCTTTCTGTGGTCGGGGTGTGTGTCTCCGTGGCACATCGCAGCCATGAGGCACGGACAGGCAGTTGTAGAGGCTTTCCCGAATGGACTGTATTCGAGGGCTTCAGAAGAATCATTTCATATCTGAAAAGAATCAAAAAGATTTTAAGTCATAATTTTCCTGATTATGAGGTGATGATTGAAGCAGCTGTTTCCTATTCTTGGTGCTCCTAAAATCTAGCCCATTAGACTGTCCCCACACCTTTATTTATTTTTTATTTTTTTTAACCAAATAGAGTAGCTATAATGTGACTCTGTGGGCTTTTTTCTCTCTTGATTTAAGCATTCTGTGCCTCTCCTCCAGATAAATAACCTCATTGTTTAACTTGTTAGATATCTCTTTACAGGACCAATAATGACCATAAATGAATTATATAGGGTACATTTCATAATTACTTAAATTTCAGTATATTTTCCACCAAGTAGCAGAACTTGGTTAATACTTCAGTATGAAATTGCCTGAGTCAGAGACATGAAGTGTAAATTAAATAAGCTTGAGTTTGCTCTTTGCAGTGAAAATACAAACAAGACAGAGGTGTGGTGATGACTCCAGCACTAGCTGACATGCAGTCTAGTGGAAGCTCGCATCACTTTTCCCTCCTTCCTCCTTCCTGTCTTCCAGATGGGACTGCCACCGCTGCCAAGGGCAGTCCACAGTGGCCAGCTCTTGAACCGGGGAGAACTTTGAGCTGCCCCTAGACACTCAGGAGGAAAGCATCAAGGCGTGCTCAAAACCATGTATACCTCATTTGACAAATAGTAAGAGTGCTGGCTGTGCGGAACATCTGTGAGCAGGACACCTGTGGTCCCCCCATCATGGAGCTCCCATTTTATGGAGTTCATAAAACTGGGTTGTACTTGTGACTGTTTCAGTGATGGGAATAAACACTGTGCAGTGGGTGTCTCTTCTAGTTCGGATGTTCTCTTGACTGAGATCACCTGGTATGTTTTTTTTTTCCAGAAGAAGAGGTGAGTCTCCCTGGGATGGAGCCTGATCCTTCTGGGAGTTTATGTTAAAGGCCACTTCAGGAGTCTGAGCAGAGCATAAAATGAGGAAACAGAAATAAGTAGGGTTCTGCTTCCATGCAGTTTTCTATTTAGACATTTCCTTTGTTTAATTTCCCCATTTAAGAATACATAATCAGCAAGCAAGAAAATAATACCAGATATCCATGCTACACGTATCAGGCCTGGGCCAGGTGTGGTGGGTGGCTCACGCCTGTAATCCCAGCACTTTGGGAGGCCAAGGCAGGTGGATCACTTTCAGCCCAGGAGTTCAAGACCTACCTGGGCAACATGGGAAAACCCTGTCTCTACAAAGAATATAACAATTAGCCAGGTATCGGTGGCTTGAGACTGTAGTCCCAGATGTTTGGGGGGCTTAGGCTGGAAAATCGCTTGAGCCCGGAAATTGGAGGTTGCAGTAAGCCGAGATCATGCCACTGCACTCCAGCCTGGGTGACAGAGCAAGACCCTGTCTCTAAATAAACAAATAAATAAATATCAGGCCTGTAAGGGTAAGGTTTAGAAGAGTGAAACAAGCATGGTGATACTGTTAGATAGCTTGATGATTACCCAAAAATGTTTGGCATATTTCTTTCTTTTTAGAGAAAGTGGTGAAGCATTTTTTTTCTAGTAGAATTTAAACATTCTTTGTTAGACTTTGAGTTATTGCTTCTAGCTTGGACCAAATAACAAATGATACTGGAAGCCAGAGTTTCAAGACCAACATGGTGTTAGTTGAGAGCCATTACAAAGACCCCATAATGTAACTGCAGAATTCCGTGACCGTAACTTAGTCTTCCTCAGCTGGAGACTTCAGGTACCTCGGGTACCTTCCTTCAGTATGTGCGTGTATGTAATGTGTTAGTTATTTTTTATTGTATACGTTTTGCATGCATTCTGTTAGATTTATCCCTGAGGATTTTACAGGTTTTGATGCCACTATAAATGGTACTTTTTAAATGTCAATTTTCAGTTCATTGCTAGTATTTAGAAATACAGTTCATTTTTATAAATTGGCCTTGTATCCTACAACTTTGCTTAAACCCACTTATTCTGATAGCTATTTTGTAGATTCCTTTTCTACATTGATAATGTTATCATCTTCAAATAAAGACAATTTTATTTCTTTTGTAATTTATGTACTTTTTATTTCTCTTTCTTGACCTATTACAGTGGCTAGGATTTCCAGTACAGTGTAGAATGGAAGTGGTGAGAGTGGACATCCTTAGTTTGTTCCTTGTCTTAGGAGAAACACATTCAGTCTTTTTTTTTTTTTTTTTTTTTAAGAGACAGGATTTCACCATGTTGCCCAGGCTGTTCTCAAACTCCTGACCTCAAGTGACCCACCCACCTCTGCCTCCCAAAGTGCTGGGATTATGGGCAAAAGCTGCCATGCCCAGCTGAACATTCAGTCTTTTACATTAAGTATGATGTTAGCTGTAGGGTTTTTGTAGATGCCTTTTATCCAGTTGAGGCACTTTTTTCTTACATTTCCGGAATGCTTGGAGTTCCATAAATGATGACAAATCTTGTCAAATGCTTATTCTGCATCTTTTGAGATGATACGGTTTTTTTCAATCTCTTCATATGGTGAGTTTCATTTCAAATATTGAATCAACTTGTTTCTAGAATAATAAGCCATACTTGTCATGATATCTTATTGTTTTAACTTATTGTTGACTTGGCAATATTTTGTTACATATTTTTGGATCTGCCTGAGAGCTATTGATCTATAGTTCTGTTACATCTTTGGTTTTGCTCTCAGGATAATGCTGGCCTCATAGAATGAGATAAGGTGTTTCAGACTCTTTTGGAACACTTTGTGTAGAATTTTGGTTATTTATTTATGTTGATAAATGTTTGGTAGAATTCAGTGAAGCTATCTTGGGTAGAGATTTTCTTTTTTTTGTGTTAGAAGATTTATGATTACAACTTCAGGTTCTAATAGAGATACGTGTTACCTGTTTCTGAGAAGCTTTGGTAGTTTATCTTTTAAGAAATTTGTCCATTTCGCCGGGCGCGGTGGCTCAAGCCTGTAATCCCAGCACTTTGGGAGGCCGAGACGGGCGGATCATGAGGTCAGGAGATCGAGACCATCCTCTACACTAAACCCGTTCTACTTAAAAAAATTACAAAACTAGCCGTCGAGGTGCGGAGCCTGTAAGTCCAAGCTACTCGTGAGGCTGAGGCGGAGAATGGCGTAAAGTCAGGAGGCGGGAGCTTTGCAGTGAGCAGAGATCCGGCCACTGCCTCCAGCCTGTGTGACAGAGGCAGACTCCGTATCAAAAAAAAAAAAAAAGAAATTTGTCCGATTTGTCATCTAAGTTGACTTTAAAATTGCTCCAGTATCCCTTATTCTTTCAATGTCAATTGAATCTGTATTGATGGTCCCCTTTTTGTTGTACTCTGTTTTGTTTTTGAGACAAGATCTCACTGTGATTGCCCAGGCTGGTCTCAGCACTTGGGCTCAAGCCTCCTTCTGTTCAGCTGCGGTAGCTGAAGGTTACCGGCATGTGCCCACATACCTGGCTGCCCTCTTAACCTTTTTTTTTTTTTTTTTTTTTCTTGGATGGGGTCTCGCTCTGTTTGCCCCAGACCTGGGGTGCAGTGGCTCCCAATCTTGGCTGACTGCAACCTCTGCCTCCCGGTTCAAGCAATTTTCATGCCTCAGCCTCCCGAGTAGCTGGGATTACAGGCATGTGCCACCATGCCTGGCTGATTTTTGTATTTTTAGTAGAGATGAGGTTTTGCCCTGTTGGCCAGGCTGGTCCCCTCTTTCATTCTTGATAGTGGTGATTTATGTCTTCTGTTTTGCCTTATGTAGTCCGGCTAGAGTTTGTTAATTTGATTAATATTTATGAAGTACTAGATTTTCATTTCACTAGTTTATTTGCTATTATTTTTCTGTTTTCTGTTTCATTGATTTCTGCTTTTTTACCTTCTTCATTCTGCTTGCTGGGGATTTCATTTGTTCTTCTCGTTTAAGTTTTAATTTTTTTTATTTTGAGACAGAGCCTCGCTCTATCCCCCAGGCTGGAGTGCCGTGGCATGATCTCGGCACACTGCATCCTCCACCTCCCGGGTTCAATCCATTCTCCTG